TTTATATTATAAAAATGTACACAAAAAAGTCTTTTAAAATATACAAATGAATCATGCATTATAAAAGTTATCTTATATAGAAAGTAGCCTACCAGATCAAGGGAGGGTAAATTTGGACAAATGTCTTCCCCCCCCCCCCCCAATTTCAGGCCAAACTTATTTTTAATCTTGGTCCCGCAACCAGCCTGCAGGCCCCAAAACCTATGTGACTCAAAAGATTATCGCCGGTCTATAGATTGGTGGGGTTCTAAGTATGACTAATTTATCCAACAGGATATACCCAAATATCTATAGGGGATTTTATATTCGTTATTCGCTTACTATTTGGAGTGGATTAAATATTCTATATATTGTGTGACTTAAATACGTAGGCTAAATGGTACCTAACCAAATTTGACCGATCATGGATATAAATTATCTCACAGAACTTTACCTGTCATCTAGCTGTCCCTTGGTAAGTGTGCCCTTAGCCTTGGTAAGTAAGCCCTTAGAATATGCATTCTAAGGGCTCATTTACCAAGGGACCGGTAAAGTTCTGTGAGCAGCATGATTTCTGCATCAGCATGACCATGACTTTTTTTTCAGAAATTTTTCAGGCAGTAGGCTACCGATCTGTTCCTGATGATTTTGCAGACAAAAAACACTGAAAATAGGGTGGGAGTTGTGTTTAATATTTGAAGATCAGATGCCAGTAAATCACATATATGGAGTCTTATCTTAAAAAAATCTGACATAATTCTACCGTAACATCACGTGCTGCTGGCTGGAATGAAAATGTCCACGGCTCGTTGTCTGGTGTATTTTATCATTTAAAAAGTTCAAAACAAATCCCAGAAATAAAGGCTATGAATATAATTTACTGGAAAATTTGACGAAATCAAATAATTAGGTCGGGAAAATGTGTCATATATAATTTTTAGTGTAAATGTAGACGGGATGTGAGAACGGAATTCCAGGGGGCGTACGTCCGCCGCAGAGGTACAATGTTATGTATTTATAATGTCATGCACAGGTTTGAAGTCGCCTTTTGATAATCAGCACGGTATTAATTACGGATATTTTAGAACCGGAATCTAACACCTCAACGGCGAAGTATTCATTTAAATTGCAAGTTAGATACCATGATACTTATATTTGGTGGAATTGTGGATACCGATTATACAATTGCACGAATCTTCTTTGTGTCGCTGAGCCAAAGCAGATTCGCGGGCCTTCTGATTTCGAAGAAAAAAAACGAATTATACGACATGTATTACGATATTCATATAGACTGCGGTGTACGTAAAGCTCTAAACAATTTAAGGGTGATTGTGGTGACCGAATTCTGGACTAATTATGTAATAATGATGATGTGTCTGAATAGACATTATGAACGAAAACATTAAAACGTTTATAGTTAACGTGTTATTATTCATCACCTTAACAATCAAAGTTTACCAGTTTAAAAAATGCGTAGTGACAAAAGTAAATTAAAAGTTTTGCCTTAGTGTGCATAAAAACTGCCGTTGTGAAGAAGGAATTACTGTGGCATTTTTTGAAAAAAATGCTTTGTTCCAATTTCACGAATTTTGACCCCTACATATGGGCTTGCACATATAGGATCCCTTTGGCAGTTGGAAGGAAATAAAAGAGTAGGCCATAGCGCTGCTGCCTGGGCAAAATAGCCCGGTTAGAGCCAAACACTTTTTTTTTTTTAGATTGTGCAAGGATTTAAGTGGAAACATTCTTGTTAGTTTGTACAGGGCTTAATGTCAAAGCCCCAATGTGTTGTCAAGTTTCAGTTAGCTCTTTAAATTTTTAACTTTGTCTTCTGAACCACATTGTGGATTTTAATTTTAACCAAATTTGGTGGTAGGTACATTTATATGCTACTGGTATCTTTATTCTGATTAGTTCAGATAAGGTAGATAATTAATGGCCCAAGAGGACCATTCAGGACAGCATAGCCGAATTCAGATAGCATGGCAGAATGTAGAACACATACAGAATGGCATGCATATAATAGTACTAATTAGATAAAATACAAGTACATATCACAGGATGACATGTATACATGATTAAATACAGGTGATAAAATACATATCACATAGATTAGATATATAAATGATAAAACAAACAATAATACTTCATAGAAATATCAAAGGTCGCTCATATCTCATATTGGGTCCAACTTTAACAGTTTTAGACTTGAAGGTTAGGGTCAACAGACATATGCACCTTATAGTCCTGATCGATGCACTATTTTAGAGCCATAGAAATCACATGCAAACTACAATATTGAAAAAGATTAATCTCCAATTGGAATATCTGTCCAAAAATGGTCCTGTTCTGTTCATTGAAATTTCATTGATCTATGTGTAGTTTCCCTTTTTTATAAGCGGACTTCCATTTTGTTGTCTGCGAGAATTTATTGGTAGTCCTGTATTAAATCCCATTGAATCTAAGCCGGGACATTATCTGGTATTAGTATTTTGAATTTGTTTTCTCGATTAAATATTAAATAATTTGAAAGTTTGTCACGTGTGTGGTTGTTTTTGTAGGGGGGTGGGGGACATAGTAAAGCTACATAATATGCAGATTTTTGAACATTTTCAATCATGTTTGGTGGTTCTTTTTAAAATTTAATTAAATAATTTAACTGCTTCATAGTGGTCAAAACAAGGCTTGAAATTAACATTTTTAGACATTATTGACTTCTCCTAGACTATATCTGGACTAGGACACTTATTTGGAACACTTTGAAGGGTCAAATTTAGATATTTTACACTTTAGTACAGAAATGTATTTGAAGATGCAATTTATAGTAGGCACTATATTTAGGGGTGCACAAACATATTTTCCCAAGGGGAGTGCACCATCAAAAAATCTGCCCACTCCCCATTAGAAAATCAATTATTGTCCCCAGTCGAAAAGTAGTAAGTATAGCATTATGTCATTTTTAAATGACACAGTTGAATATTGATTTGTAGGCCTCATTTTGGTTTGATTAAATGTGTAAGAGACTCGGGCAAACCAATCAATTTTCCAGAAAGAAAAAAAAAAACGGCCCACTCAGCAAAAAGATCGCCCCATTTGCCAATCTGGACTAAGCTCAGGGTAACCCCCCTGTTGTGCGTTCCTGCTTATGTTGATAGAACATAATTAACCATAATAATAATGACGAGCGATAAAGCCAATATAGACACCTATTTTTGATGATTTTTTCAGTCACAGCCCAGTAAAAGGAGAACTACAAGATGGAGTCGCTGCAGATTGTCAAAACTGTGGACAATTTTTCAAATTTTAAGCGATAAAGTCAATATAGACACCTATTTTTGATGATTTTTTCAGTCACAGCCCAGTAAAAGGAGAACTACAAGATGGAGTCTATGCTGCAGATTGTCAAAACTGTGGACATTTTTTCAAGTTTAGAGCTGAAGGTCCAGTTCGATCAACTTTTTCTATGACAATAAATGGACAAAGTTACACAGGTAAACTTAGCATTTCCTTCTTCTATTAATGAATGGTGGTAGGGAGTTGTTGAAGGGGGGTGGGGGGGGGGGGAATATGTAAAAGGATAGTTTTACCCAATTGACATGTTTCCACCATACTGTGCTAGGAATGATTGATCTATTTTTTTGTTGATTATTTGGCCTGAACTACATTCTGGATTATTTTTGTCTTATTATTTTGTATAGTTTTGTTGCATCATTGCTTTGACTAAGGTTAAAAATGAGCATTTTCTGCTGGGGTTTAAATGTTAAGCAATTTGTATGCTCAGTGCTTTTGAAAAGATAAAAGCGCAAGTAATGAAGGATTAAGGTGGGGTACAATAGCCTTACTTATGGCCTTTTTTTGTAGTTGATAACTCATATCCAGGAAGTACGTCTCTAAATGAGTTTTTACGTCAGAAAGGAATATCCCCAGGAACTAAAGTGATGTGTATAGAGGGAGGATGTGGTGTATGTGTCGTGTCGGCCACCATAATGGATCCAGTCACAAGTAAACCAAGGACTTATACTGTTAATTCTGTAAGTTTTTTTAATTCCCAAATTATAGTGTTGAAATGAATCAACACACTTCTTTTTGGCACAAACTGTGCTGGGGGGTTGGATGGCTGAATGGTTAGCGCGCGCTGTATCATAAAGTCTGTCATTGAGTCGACTAGCGTGGTTTCGAATCCCCAGTTGTACGTGACAAGGAGTAGGGTCGCCTGTCCAACCTCGTGGGTTTTCTCCGGGTCCTCCGGTTTCCTCCCACTGCTAAAGACCCCTACGTGCAAGCGAATTATTGAAATAAAATTAAACCATATGTTAGTCCCGAAATGACCTAGTTTGTGTCGAGTGGACGTTAAACCCCATTTCTCTCTCTCTCTCTCACAAACTGTGCTAATGATGATGGGCATTTGCCATGTTGAGTGCTATGAGGGAAGCTTTGCCTAGACAGCTGCACTACAGCCTACTCATATTTCAAATTTTGTCAAGGGTTCTTTTACATGCATACCAATAAGGTAAGTGCTGCCATGATATACCTTGGAATTGATGTGTATTTTACTTGTAACAAAAGCTGTTCTTCCAAAAGAAAATGTGCCTAGTAGTTTGGACGGAATGAAAAACCAGGGTCCAAGTGTACATATTGGTGAGCAAGAAACCTTGGCAGTTGAAATTTTGTGAAGAGTGGGCATAAATGCAACTGTCCAGTTAAAATAGCCCTCCTTGCTTTCTATGTTGAGTAGATGAAAATACAGCTGTCCGGACAGAATCTGACCACCTTACATTTACATTGCATATGTAACCCCATTCTATTATTTGCATAAGATAAATATATGTATATTTTATATTTGTATTTATTACTGAGTTGTACATACTACATATATCATGATTATGTGTATATTATAGTGTTGTATATACCATTTTTTTACATGTGTAAATTGCAGTGTTAGTTTTTATATAATGATTATGTGTATATTACAGTGTTGTATATTACAGTGTGGTATCTTGCTGTGTTGTATATATTATATTATGTGTATATTACAGTGTTGTGTACCATTGTTACAATGTGATGGTTGGAATATAACTACAATTGAAGGTTTAGGTAACACTAGAGATGGTATTAATCCTATACAACAACGTCTAGCTGATTATAATGGTACACAATGTGGTTTCTGTAGTCCTGGTCAGGTCATGTCTATGTACAGGTCAGATATTATTTGCATAGTATGATCCCTCTTCGACCAAAGTGCCATTACACTCCTACAACATATCCTCCTTTGATCGAACTGCCATTACACTCATACAACATATCCTCTTTTGATCGAACTGTCATTACACTCATACAACATATCCTTATTTGATTGAACTGCCATTACACTCATACAACATATCTCCCTTCGATCAAACTGCCATTACACTCATACAACATATCCTCCTTTGATCGAACTGCCATTACACTCATACAACATATCCTCCTCTGAGGATACCACACTGTAATATACAACACTGTAATATACACATAATCATTATATAAAAACTAACACTGCAATATACTGAAATCATCAGAAGGCTAGTGGATTGTGTTAATGAAGACGGGCATACGCCATACAATATACTATGAGAAATATTTTGCCCAGACAACGACACTACAGTCTACTCTTATTTCGAAGTGTCAAGTGTCAATGTTTATAATTCCATCCGAACAACTAGACACTGTCCTTGCCAGACCCTCAGTCTTGCACCACTGACATTGGGAACCTTGAACCTCATCGTTGGCAAGCTACGGTAGTATCTTACTCTAAGCATGGCTCCCACAGTGGAAATGATGCTGTCTGGGCAAAATTCTCCTCTCTAGCATTGCATATGTGATAAAATTAACCGTGTTAGTCTTAGAATACAAGAGTGTTGTGTTGATGATAAATTAATCTCTTTTCAATTCCGTTCAAAGCGGAAAGTATGCAATCTGATAAAAATACAGATCTATTTTCGTTTTTTTTTTTATACTTTTGAATTCCTACACTGACCGGTTGTAATGATTGGTCGCGTCTGAGGTCATACAAGCGACTTTTGACCCTATGACGTCAGAAATTTGATTAACCAATCAGCACTGATGACTGATGTTACTAGTGGATTACCCACAGTTCCGTGCAAAACACGCCTAAAGCTCGCCATAACAGACCGTTATATTGGCTAATCCCTCACACCATTCAGAACATGTCAATGATAACAACTCTTCCAGATCCTAGTGTAGTAAAGACAAGTAAATCAAAATTTTGAACTATAAAAACGAAACGAAATAGGATCTGTGTTTTAATCAGATTGGATAGTATGCAAAATTGAGAAAAATTAATCTGTCTATGGCAGAGATATCAAATATGTGAATAGATTCACACAAATATTTGGTGAATCTATTATAAGGGGATGAAGTTATTTAAATCTTAAAATGTGCGAGTTGTATCCATTCTTGAGTATTTATCCAGCCCGGTTTTCCCTTGTCAGAGTGGTGCAAGACAGAGGCCTGGCAAGGAACAGTATCTAGTCATTCAGATGGGACAAAAAACTTGATGTACTGTGTACAATTTGTCTACCTTCATCTTTGAAGCGTTAATTATGTTTTATCTTTTATAAATAGTTTATTGAAGACGAATCCCCATCCTACCATGGAAGAAGTAGAACAGATAATGGACAATGTAGTATGTCGATGTACAGGTTGGTCATGCTTACTAACCTTTCATTATGTGTGGCCAGGTCACCACAAAGTGTCCACAGGAACCAATCACTGAGCCCATTCGATGTCTAACCTTGCTTTTTTATGCCTCCCATATCTGACTATGTTTACACTATATTCCCCCCGCCCCTTACTCGATTGAACGGTCCGGAATTGAATTCTGTCAATCCCAAAAATAGTGACAATCGAGTTATAATGGGATTTTGGGGCTAGAATGCATGAGAAAATGTCTCAACCAACCATGAGAGCTGAAACATATTCGTTGTGCTTAATTACGTCAGATTCTACTCACACCACTGTGAATCACACGATTACAATTCCGTCAATTCGGAATGTTCCGGACTGACAATCAAGTATCCCCAGTCAGTTCTACGTAATATGATATCTCCACACTTGTAACATTTATAATGTTATTGTATATGCTGTCACCAATTCCATACGTCTGTCCATCTGTTGTCCGTCCATCTATCGTCCACTGAACACAATAAAGGCTACAGTAATCCATATATAAGTACTTTCTTTAAATTGTCTATCTCAATGAAATAAAGAAGCTTTTTAATTTTCAAGAGTTCTTCGATCCCTTTTGTTACAAAATCTAGTTATGATTTGATCATTCTGAAATTTATGCTGGTTATATCTATCCTGTTGAAAGGAACCATATTGATTTTCGATAATGACACCCAAAGTTTGTCCCCTTCTTTATGAAATCTTGTTTGTGCCATGCTATGATAATGATTGATAAATCTTTTTAAAAGTTTATGAGTTGTACCATGATTAGCCCATAATAGACGACAAAACTGTTGGTTATCTATGTTTTCACCAATTGAAGTGAGTGAAACACAGAGTGAGTGAGACAGAGAGCCAGAGGGAAATGAGAGAGGGAGACATGGTTCAATTTTATTTCAATAATTAACTTGCACATAGGAGTCTTTAGCAGTGGGAGGAAACAGGAGGACCCAGAGAAAACCCATGAGGTTGGACAGACGACCCTACTCCTTGTCACGTACAACCGGGGAATCGAAACCACGCCAGTTGACTCAATGACAGACCGTATGATACAGTGTGCACATGTTACCCGTTCGGCCATCCAAACCCCCGAGAGAGAAATGGGTTTAACATTGACTCAACACAAACTAGGTCATATTTTTAGGAGGTTCAATTTTATTTCAGTTATTCTCTTGCTCATAAAGGTCTTTTGGCTGTGGAAGGAAACCGGAGGAACTGGAGAAAACCTACCAGGTTGGACAGGCAAAAAAAATAAAAACTAGGAATAAATTTTCTTTATTTCCACAGGTTACAGATCAATCCTGGATGCAATGAAATCATTTTCTGCTGATGCTGGTCCTGATCTTCCTGGTGGCCTAATTGATATTGAGGTAAGTTGTCTAAACTTCTATAATTATTGCAGATTAAAAATTATATTGAATCATTAAAATTTTCCAGATTATTTGGGGTGCCACAGTGGCTCAGTGTGTAAGGCGTCGACTCACTAATCATGAAGTTTGGGTTAGATTCCGGTGTTGGTCGAGACAATTTTTCATTGTGGTTTTCCTTTGTCAGTGGTATAGGATGGAAGGCCTGATAGGAAAATGCTGGTTAGCACGTAAAAGACCCCTTGACAGTTGGAATTCGATGAAGATATAAAAACTGTATCGTTTTATGTTCAAAACTTCTTAATGATAAACCATCGACTGATGTAATTTTCGCATGCCACTATAAAGTTGAGTGAAGGCTTACATATATATATGTCATTTTTCTCTTAACCATCCAACAGTGGCATACAATTGAAGTACTATTCCCTAACAACTGTCAACTGCTGCAGGCCGTCATGTTTATTTTGAAGTTCGTATATAGATCGACAAGTTACTTTGTTAACAGATAAATAAAAAAAACCCAACCCTTTAGAACTTGGACCCTTGAAACAGCCCCGAGCTGCTGAGCACTCACTTTCGTGCTTCTAACCGTCGTGAGTCATGTGGTTAGCTGTAAACTATTTAAGAACCGTTTCCTACTTCTGTGAGCTGGTCTAGGGATCGATTGTTGGGACGGTTATGAAATGAAGTACAGAGTTGATTGTGAAAAAAGATTACCTAGAAACCATAGCTAAATTTCAACTCTTGCGTCCAAATGATCTACACCCACACACCCACCGGCCCATCCACGCTGACAAGGGTAAGAAAGTGTCGACACAGGTGGATGTTGATGCGAGGCAAAGGCAACATTTAAAGGAAGCAAGTCGCTAACTCAATGTCAACCAGAGTCTTCAACATTGCAAACGTCAACTTATTGTTCAATTTAAATCAACATTGGTGTTGTTATCTCACCGTGAAAAAATGCGCTTTTGATATCCAATATTATACGCCCACATTTTCATGTGGAAGTATATTGTCGTTGTCCCTGTCCGTCCGTCCATCCACAATTGTTTGTGAACACTCTACAGGTCACAATTTTTATCCGATTTCAACTAAACTTGAAATATAGGTTTATCACCCTAAGATCTCGGTTCCTTTCGATATGTATGGCATGTATCGGACTGTAACTTCATGGATTATGGCCCCTGATTGTAAGAAAAATATTGTGTTACAGGGTTGTGGACCCTCTTGATGTCACTATTTTCATCTGATTTTGATGAAACCTGAAATGCATGTTTATGACCCACAGATCTCGGTTCCTTTCGATATTTGCGCATATCGGACCATAACTTCCTGAATTATGGACCCTGATTGTAGAGAAAATCGCGTTTTTAGCTTGTGGACCCCATAGAGGTCACAATTTTTATCTGATTTAAAAAACCGTTACAATATATCAATGTTACACCATAAGGATGGTTGAGTTCGAATTTCGTTGTGGACCCCCTGGAGGTCACAATTTTCATCTGATTTTGATGAAACTTGAAATGCATATTTATAACCCACAGATCTCGATCCCTTTCAATATTCGCGCATATCAGACCGTAACTTCCTGAATTATGGCCTCTGATTGTACGCAAAATGGCGTTTTTAGCTTGTGGTCCCGCTAGAGGTCACAATTTTTATTTGATTTAAAAAAAACGTTCGAATATATCACCGTTACACCATAATGTTTGTTGAGTTTGAATTTCGTGAAAATCGTGCCAAAACTGCCGGACAAAATGGCCACTCCTCGTATGCAAATAGTTTAAACATTTGGTAAATCAATGTAGTGGACCCTCTAAAGATCACAATTTTGATCCGATTTCGATGAATCTTAAAATACATGTTTATAACCCAAAGGTATTGGTTCCTTTTGATATTCGTGCATATCGGATCGTAACTGAATTATGGCCATTGATTGAACAAAAAATCACGTTTTTAGCTTGTAGTCCCTGTAGAGGTCACAATTTTTATCCGATTTAAAAAAAAAATGTGTGAATATATCACCATTACACACTAAGATCTTGGTTCCTTTTGATAATCACAGATACCCGAACTTAACTTCCTGGATTATGGCCCTTGATTTTCAAAAAATCGCATTTTTAGCTTGCGGATTCTCTAGAGGTCACGATTTTAAAAACGGTTTTAAATACATCACCAATCCACCATAATGAAGGTTGAATTCGTATTTCGGGAAAATCAAAATGAAACTGCCCGACAAAATGGCCGCTCTTTGTACGCAAATTGTGTAGAAGTGTGTAATACGATGGTTGTGGACCCACTAGAGGTCACAATTTTTATCCGATTTTAATGAAACTTAAAACATATCTTTATGTCCCAAAGATCTCTGTCTCTTTTGATATTTACACATTTCAGGCCATAACTTTCTGGATTATTGCCTCCGATTATACAAAAAATCACGTTTGTTTTTAGCTCAGGCATCGATATTTCCGCGCACATGCGCACGGCGTGCGCAGGCACATTTGCTTGAAAAAATTTTTTACAGGCACATTTTTAAAGATGTAGCCACGCCGGGCGGCTCCTGTGCCCGGCAATATTTTTTGCCGCCCAGCACAAAGAAAAAATCGAAAAAGGCCCAGTCGTATTTAAACCCCCTCGTCCTTCTCTGTAGACAAACTCGGCGTTCGAAATTTACCACGGCAGTTAAACGGCAAAGCCATGGTAAAAGCTGACGTACGCAAACCCAATCTGTTTCACAGAGAATTACGAGTCTCGTATAATACCTCTGTCATAGATGACTGCCTTAACACGTACCGTCACAGCACGCGGTGTGAATCATTGGCTGAATGATGCGTGCATTGTTTACATAAGACATAACTGCTTCGGAGAGAATGCTGCATTTTAGTCATTTTAATACCCATTTATACTAAATAGGAAATAATGTTTACCTACAAATACGTCAAACGCCATTATTTATTTTTCCAATATATACAAAAAATGTTTTAGAATTTAATTTGTCGCAGGAAAAAAGTTAATATTTCTAGCTCATTAAGCCGCATCAATGTCATCCTTATCAGTGATTGTCGCGGCCAAGCAAATATTCACTGCGGATCCGTGTGACGCAAACCATGTCTGTCACGGCATAATTTATTTTTGTGTGCCGTAGTAGACCCTATCATCCCAAATTAGTTTAAAGAAAGATGTATTGGTATTTTGTTTATTTATACTTAGAAGATGTGTAGGTCTAGGGCTATTCATTTTACAATTATTCTACGATCTTTATGTTTGTTTATTTGCCGTAAATAGGTCACCCAGACCAATTTACGGCACTCCAAGGTTTGAATGTCGTAATTGTCCAACACGTGCCTGCAAATTTTCACGATGATCTTATTTTATTTCTTACCTGTGTTGACCGTGGATTTGCTACGGCCCGAGAGTAGGACTAGGAGGACAATGAGAGCTTTCTCAGTTTCTGCCTGACCTGATTCTCATTCCACCATAATAATAATAATATTCGTGAGACATGTACAACAACTTTACAAACAAGTCAAATAATACAACGTGTTTTAATTATCAATATCTACCTGTTGTCATAATTCGTTGTACTCAAATAAAACACAAACACCGTTTTAAGAATCGTTTTAATTTTTAATCTCAAAGTAATAAAGTAATATTTGAAAAAAAACCCAACAAAACAACAAATATCGAAAGGTCCTCAACTTATCTATCCAGAGAAACAGAGTGGGGCGGGACAATTTTATGCTCGCTCGGGTGGTGTCAAAAAGTTTTTAGATCCCTGTATCATTGATGAAAATTAAGTGAATTGGTAAAATTTGAATATATAAATGGAAATTTGATTTGCACTGAACCAAATACAAAAGGCAGCAGATGCTCTGAAAATACACCAAGAAGGGTTTAATTTTCATAAAAGACCACGCCCCACTCCCAAAATTTTTTGGGCCTCGCTCCGCTCGCCTAATATATTTTAACACCACTTGCCAAATCCTGGCTACATCCGTGTGTTTCAGTATGACCCTGCAGGCACATTTTCAAGTGTGTGCGCAGGCACACTCAACTTTTATAGAGCCCTGTTTTAGCTTGTTCTCTATTCATCTCTTTCAAAATGTGGGTGTATCCTGCGTGGCAGCCACTGGTTTAAGACAAAATGAAAATGTTTAAATTGGCACACGAATCGCGTGTTAGAATGCTTTCGAGCTTCATTTGTAATGAGACGCCTCAATGAACGAGGCTAAACATATCCCACAGGAAAATACTACCAGTGTAGACTGGAATAACTGCCATTTAATTTGCATTCTTCGTGTATTTCGCGGAACTATTGACAGTGAATCATACATTCATATTAGCCTATATTATTATATGCGTTGCAATCCATTTGTGTCCACTTCTAAGTGCCAAAGAATATTGATTTAGCTCCTTTAAATTATCGTTGTCTATCCACAGTTTCGTTCAATCCATCAACCCAGTTCCATTGGTTTTTCATTGGTAATGCTATTTATCCCCACGCGCAAGCGAGTTATTGAAATAAAATTGAACTGTGCATTAGTCCCAAAATGACCTAGTTTGTGTCAAGTGGACATTAAACCCCATTTCTATCTCTCTCTCTCTCCCATTTGGATGCAGGTGTTGAAATTTTGATTATAACTCTAATGTTTTCTTGTAACAGGGCTATAGTCGGAGTATAGGGTTAAAATTGCTATGTTTTGTTTAACTGTGTGACAAACCTAATTGTCTCCCTTTATTCATGTGTAACCTGTATATCATGATAGGATTTAGAGAGAAAGATTTGTAAGAAAACTGGTAATCCATGTACTGGAAAATGTTCTTCTGACCAACCACAGACCATGTTACATATGGTGACGGCTGGAAGTCAGTGGTTAAAACCAACCAATAAACAAGAGCTTTGCACATTACTAAACCAACATAAGGCAGATAATTACAGACTTCTACATGGTAACACTGGCTTTGGTGAGTATGAAATAGTCACACAGTGATTACCGTATTTAAACAGAGCTATGTTTCTATAATAAAAATCTCCATTTGCCTTTTAGTCTGGATAATATTGTGAGTTTAAATGTCTAATGGTACATAAATTCATTCAAATCCAACCATTTCTCAGCTCCACTCAATTCTACTAAAACCCCATACAAATCAACCCAAACTAATCCAATTTCACTCAATTCTATGCAAATTCAACCCAAAACCATCTAAAACTTTAACGTCATCTGAAATTATTCAACTTCACCCACATCAACCCAAATTCACACAAATCAACTCAAAACCACACAAATCTACCCAAAACAATCTAAAACCATTCAACTTTACCGAAATCAATCCACGTTCACACAAATCTACCTAAAGTCATATAAATTCGTTCAACTTCACCCAAATCAACCAAAATCCAAACAAATCTACCAAAAGTTATCTAAAACCATTTAACTTAACCCAGATCCATCTAAAATCAACTCATAATACTGATATAATAATTAACAGGTGTGTATAAAGATATTAGTGATTGGAATTATTCTGTTTTGATTGATATCAGAGGTGTTGTAGATTTCAATATAATTCAGGTAAGTTTTACGGAATTCCTGATATGAAAGAATTTTTTCATGTATAATATTTCTTTAATTGCCTGCCTTTGTTTTTGTGCATGGCTTTCGCTTCAAAATTGGGCCAGTTGGTCAATTTTTTATGCACTTTTATTTTGTTTATTATCCCAATTTTTTATAAAGGGATCTGGTGGTCTTTGAGAGATTTTTTAATCTTGTGAAATCTTTTGAAGGGATATCAGTCTAAACATGGTTGAATTCTGTTCAATAATAACAAAGATCGAATAATTTTTAAACAATATTAATGATATAAATAAAAACACCGAAAAGACAAATCTGTTCGAACTGAAATAACAAATCTGTGCCAGAGAAAATGACAGGCATCAGAAGGATATTTTGGATAAAGCTTGAATTTGTGCTGGACACTGTCTGTAACTGGTGCCTTGTTTTCCCGCTCGTGTGTGTGTGTGTGTGCTGTTGTGACTTGAGTAGCAGTTAGTAGTAGTAGTAGTATTAGTAGTAGTTAGTAGTACTTGTAGTAGTTAGAAGTAGTTAGTAGTTTCCTAGGGAACATATTTAGTACATGAGTTTTAATTTTCAACATGTCCCTCCTACTCTGTAAAACTAGCAACTACACAGTAACAATATTTACAAATTATATATCATATTATATCAGCTTATCAAGGGGAAAAATCAAATAAACAAGAATGAAAAAATGGCAAATAAACATAGATTCAGAGGACAACAGTAATTAACAAGGGTTTAAATGATTTGACATATTAAACTAACTCCTTTTTGAAAAAAAAAATTGAAGACGCATGTTTCACAGTTTGAGGTAGTGAATTCCACGAATGTCATTGTGAAATTGATGTGTGATTTAAGTTTATATATTATAGTATTTCTAATAATGAATGGTTTCTTTTGTCTACAGCTAGGGGGAAAAACTCTAAAACTTGGTGCCAACTTGACATTAACAAATCTACTGGAGTATTTCAATACAAAAGCTGCTGCTGGTAACGACAGAATGACATCATTCTACTCAAATATTTCTCTACATTTAGAAAAAATTGGTACAACTTCTATTAGAAATGTAAGTAATATTAGAAATGCTGCCTGCTAAGGGATCTTTTACGTGCAGGCCAATGTATAGACGGAACCTCGTTTTTTTGTCACATCCGAATGACTAGACAGCTGTACTTGTCAGGCCCTCCGTCCTTCACCACTAACAAGGGAAAACCATGTCGGAAAATCTTGATGAACTTTGTCGACCAAAGCATGGATCTTAGTTCCTCCCATAAAATATGATCTAATTTGTGTTAGGAGGACATTAAACATCAACTATTGGTGTGGATCAAATTACAGGTGTTAGTTGATTTGAGAAGCCTATATGTATAATTCTGATATTGTATTTTATGTTCCAGCTTGGAACTTGGGCTGGAAACCTGATGATGAAGAACAAACATCCAGAGTTTATATCTGATATCTACGTTATATTTGAGGCTATGAAAACCCTTCTGGTTATTGGTAGGTTATAAAATGTATTAAAATGAAATGGAGTTGAATGTCCTACGTCATGCACCACTGATAAGGGGGAAACCATGCCGAAAAATCTTGATGCATTTGGTCAACTCTCTTGGCCAATACTGGGACCGAACCTGCGACCTCCAGACTACTCACTTAGCCACAGTGGCTCCAAATGTATTGAATTATTATCATATATTATAATTTAAATTTAAATTATAATGAATGGGATCTGTCTGTCCTTCCATGATGGAACTTTGTATACACATCAACCTGTTATAGTAGTTGTGGCTTTTTCTAATTAAAAATTTCTTGGATTTGATCATTTTTGTGTTTCCTTGGAAACATGTTTGACTTTATGATGACTAAGTTTTCTTATTTTTGGGGGATTTTTTGTGCCCACATGAACCTATTACAGTAGAGGTGCCTTTTGTGAGTGATCTGGATAGGAAACTTTGAATGATCAATACTCAGATAAAATAATATTTAGAAGTGGTTTACGACATTTTGCATTTATTTAATGGAATATTATGGACGACACAGTAATTTTGGTAATTAAAATTTTTTAGATTTGATCATTTTCATGTTTGATTTGATGATGACTAAGTTTTCTTATTTTGGGTTTTTTTTGTACCCACTTGAACCTATTACAGTAGTTATGCCTCATGCTTAGTGAGGTAGTTTACAACATTTTGCATTTATTTATTGGAATATTATGAACACAATAATTTTGTTTTTCAAGTAATTTCATGATCTGTATTTAAATCTTTTATCTAGTTGATAGTACTGGTAAAGAAATGAATTACAATATCGCAGACTTCTTGAAACTGGACATGACAGGCAAGGTCATCACCATGGCAATAATACCTCTTGTTACCGATGCCAACATCAACATTAGAAGTTTCAAGTCCATGCCCAGGCATCAGGTCAGTACTTGACTAGAAAATGTCTCACAATGAAATCTTGCAGCAGGAAGGACCTTAACATTCTTCAACATTCTTCCTGGTATATTGGGAAGATGGTATGTTAAATTCCATTCCCTTATGTTTGCTCTTTATTGATAGGTAAAATCAGGCCATGGCCAAATTGCATGGTATAAAGAATTGACAGATTCACTGATGACATTTCTGTGTTATGTTATTGCAGTTGAACAGATTACATTATTGTAGTTAAACAGATTACCTTATTACATTTAAACAGATTACGTTTTTGTAGTTAAATCGATTACATTATTGCAGTTAAAAAGATAACATCATTTTAGTTAAATCGATTACATTATTGCAGTTATAAAGGCTAAGTTATTGTAGTTAAATTGATTAAATTATTGTATTATAACTGATTACATTGTTGTATTTTAACTGAGTATGTTAAACAATTTATGTATTTTTAACAGAATGCTCATGCATATGTGTCTGCTGGTTTTAATATGGAGGTCGATGCCTCAAAGAATTATTTAGTTGGGCGAAATCCTGTCCTGGCATATGCTGGAATCAGCAAGACATTTGTAAGTTAAAACAAAGGGACATGTAAAGGCCCTGATTATTATATATCTTTAAAGATTTGTACCGCTTGAGTTTCAAAGTGCCAGTGATTTGTAAATGATTTGATAATAGTTGTTCAATAAAATACAAATAGATGATTTAAATATACATTATGCAAGAGCTAAATCTGCATATTGTAGGTCTTTCTTTAGGCCTGAAAAGTTTTCTAAATTATTAATTAGACATTAATTAACTTATCTAGGCCATAGTCAACTCTCGATGGCATCAGATTTCTCTGATATTAAATACATTAGAACAGTTCAGCCATATTTTGATTTAAGCTAAAAATGGAGGAGCGAGACTTAGCTTTGAACAACCAGTACAGTGGTTGAAATTATTGCACATGTCTTGTCAAACCTTCAAAGGCTAATATCTTTGCTGGCAACAAAGTAATTTGAATGAAATTTTCAAATTATTCATTTTACATTATCTATTTTCGTACTATTATATCAAGAATGGTTAGCTCTTTATCTAAATCTTACATAATTGTATCTTTAACTTTTTTAAAAATTAATTAATTAGAATCACTGGCATGTTATTTACAACTTGACAACAAGTTAACATGCCAATATTTATTCAAATTACACAAGAAAAATAAGTAAAAAGAGTAAATTTATACTAATATAATTACTGGGTTTTTTCTTGATATATTTTAGACTCGAGCTACTTTAACAGAGAATTATCTTTCTGGAAAACAACTTGGTGATCCAAACGTTCTTAAAGGTAATAAAGCCTTTACTTAATTGTTATTTTGATAACTTCTATAATTTCTGTGTTGGAATCAGCACTCTCATTTTAGTCATATTTGACTGAGAAATGGGGTTTGAGAGAAATGGGGTTTAACATCCACTCAACGCAAACTTGGTCATTTCGGGACTAAAATATGGTTCAGTTTTGTTTTTTTTAAAAATTCGCTTGCACATAGGGGTCTTTAGCAGTGGGAGGAAACCGGAGGACCCAGAGAAAACCCACCTAGTTGGACAGGCGATCTTATTCCTTGTCAAGTACAAGCAGGGAATTGAAACTGAATTATAGACCTTCATCACAGACAAATGTTATACCTTAGCCCCCCCCCCCCCCCCTTAGAATTAGAATTTCAAGGAATTTAACTTTAAAACACAATAGCCAAATTCAAAGTTGTTATGTAAAAGAAAATGGAATAATGCTAAAAATAGCCATTTTTTTTGGGGGGGGGGATAGGCAAATTGGAGGTAAACAACATTCCATCAAAAATTGGTTTGAAGTGTAACATTAGAAATGAATGTATAAAGTGTAGCAAATCTACTCATGAATGTCTACATCTGGCTTTTTGACTAATAATTAAGCACCATTGAATACATGGCAGTAATGTGCACTATATCAAATGTAATGTAAAAAATATGTCTTTATTTTATTTTCATCTGATTTTCTGCACTACATATACGTCTAACTTACATTGAGAACAGAATGGCCATTATTCACATTTTAGGCCTCTGGCTGAGGGCTTATTCACAGAACTCAGCCTTTGCATTGATCGAGCTGAAATTTGTACTAGAATTTTAACTCCCTACAATGAACATATCTTTAAAATAGTCTTTGTGAATTAGAGCCCTGATTCCATTTAGTATATTAGATGAGTGGAAGATGTCTTGGCTTAATTCGAGGAGGAACTGTATTGTCCTTGACTGTTTGCAATACACACATAAGACAACAATAGAACATTAATGGGGATACTCGATTGAACGTTCCAGAATTAGATTAACTCCATTCCGAAAATAGTGTCAATCGAGTGAAAAGGAGAATTTCGGAGTACAACGCATGTGCCGACTGCATAAAAAATATCTCAACCAATCATGGCAGCTGAAACATATTTGTTACTTATAATACGTCACGATTTTACTCACACCACCTCAGCTGTCGGGACTGGCAGAACTGTGACAGGACTGAATTCTGTATCACTTGATTGCAATTCTGTCAATTCGGGACGTTCCGGACTGACAATCGAGCACCCTGTTAGTAAAATTAAGTCTGGTAAAATGTGGAGTCTTAAACTGAAGAAAATGAATTGAAAAACAACTGATTTTGATCAAATTGGGTTTTGTAGATCGCATATAAATTTGTATAGATGTATAATGTATGTTTCAGGAGCTTTGAATTGAAACTGATACATTACAATTAATCACTTCTTGAACTGTTTTTAAATACATGTTTATATATTTCAGGAGCTTTGACAACATTATCTGGTGAATTAGTTACAGACACAGTAACGTCACTCACTCCAGGTTCATACAGACAAAATGTTGCCATCGCTTTCTTTTATAAGGTATCTCTGTTAAAAGTAGAAAAAGTCTGTGTGTTATTTTATTTTGTTTATAAAATCCATAAAGACGGGCACATACTATACAGTATGGCCTACTATTATTTCATTCTCCAACTATTTCGAGATCTTTAACTTGCTGCCAATAGTATACACAAGACTTTGATTTTTTGTCTCATCCAAATGACTAGATGCTATTCCTCACATCCCTGACACGGGGAAATTAGGTTGGAAATCGCAGTGAACGTTCTCAGGACTGTATTGATGATGAGCCAGCACCATAGGCGTACGGACTGGATGACAGTTGGAGGGGGGGTCTGAACTCGAAATGCCTGAAAAAAAATTCAGGTTATATCCCCCCCCCCACACCCACAAAGACAATTGGGAAAATTTGACGTCGGCAAGCATGTTTTCCTGCTATTCTAGATGACTGACTCAAATTCCAATCAACCATTTAAGGAAACGGGACCGTCGGGAGAAAATTTTGAAAATTTTTAACTGCCACAAATGCGTTTTCCTGCTATTCAAGCCCTTAAATTCATCAACTTCAATGTGATCCAATATAGATTAGGTGGCTGACCCAAATCCCAAACAAACAACTAATGCGTTTTTCTGCCCTTCTAGCCCGTGAGATAAGCAACTCCAAAGCTGTCCAATGGTTTTGTTACCAAAATCCCACTCAATGTCGACCTGAATTCCAACCATTCAATCAGACTGTTGCAGCTGCATTCACAAATAATAATCGATGCCCAAAAATGTCGCACAAAGTAGAGTGACTCCCGACAAAATGTTTTAATCCATAGTCAGTTCAGTACAAATTCGTGGTATTCAATTAAAAGAAAATCAAAATTGGTGTTTTATTAGATTTGGGGCACTTTATTTTGCCAACGACATGAAATAATTTTTTTTTTTCACTTGATCCATCTGCCTGAAAAGTCAAATTGCATAAATGTTAGGGTGACAGCAGCCCCCCTGGCCCGTATGTCTATGGCCAGCACTATACCCCAAAGTAACAGTGCTTCTTTGAATATGTTATTAGTTTATAGTGTGTCCTTTTTGTGTTTATGTATTTAGTTTGTATTGGATATATGTAGCGAGATTGTAAATACTCGATATCTGAGTGGTTGTACTGACCTCATCCGACCTTTATCGTCTGGAAAACAGATATACAGTACAGATCCAGATGAATATCCAGTCTCACGGCCAATGATTAAACAAAATGCTACAATACAGGTTTGATAATTTTAAAGTACAGTACTAAGATGTATATCAGAGTTGAGAACAGGTTGCAGGACCTAGTTAGGTCGGAGTCAAGTCACAAATCGTCGAAACCAGAGCCCAAGTTGAGTCAAAATGACTGACTTAGTTCAAATTCAGGTCTCAAATCTTTACAGAGCCCAATTCCCATTCAAGTGACCATTTCATCAAATAAGTCTACAATTCATGGCTTATAAGGCAAGTCAGAGTTATTTCCCTTCACAGCAACTCAAGGCCTTTCGCTCTTTCAAGTCACAAGTTGTCACACTGTCAAGTCAAGTCGAGTCATAATAAATATGTCAAGTCGATTCAGAAGTCAGATCTTTTGATGTATATAAGTATTGTCTTAAAATTGTAGAACTCACTTTTAATTGCTGACAAAAAAATAAAAATTGTTGATATTATTGGACTTTATATGTTGATTTGTATTCTGGTCTGTCAATCTGTCTTCGTTGATTATTACATATTTAGATAAATCCAGTGTTAAGATATAACCAATTTTGTGTTCCAGAGCCAATACAAAAAGCCCAAATTTCTCATCTATGTCACACCAATTAGATTTTCCCTTCTTCGAAAACACCTGTTAAAAATTATCCTTCATATTTCTTTGGGGAAAAAAACAACTGATTGGTGGCATTGTTTTAAAGCTTTTAGTTCTAAATTGTTTTCCGTCTTCATTAGCCCAGTCGGTGCAGAACAGTAGGACGTTAAACCCCATTTCAATTCAATTCAATTCCAAATTGTTAAGTTTTCGAAATTTAAGCAAAACATCTTTCACATAATTAATTTGTCTATTATTATCAAGGCGCCAAAGAACAGATAATCAAATTGGTGTGGCCTATGAAATTCTTATTGTATAGGACTTTTTCCAATATCAGATCCAACTAAATCAAGCATGTTTAGCCTTTAGCTCATTTAAAAATTATCATGCTGCCATAGCAACATCCTATCAACGCAGTCTCACATATCAGGCTAAATTCATGCCACTCACTGCTGAAATATACTTATTTTCACTGGCATAACAGTAGAGTTTTCAATTTTCTTTGGATTGTAATTATAACAATAATAACTTTAAGCTTGGTTAGATACCATCTTGGTCTAGATGTTCATGGCAAGAACTGTTTAATCATTCAGTTCGATTACAAGAAATTAAAGATGTCAATGTGAAACCAATATGCGTTTTGATAAGACTTGCTTGTGATTGTATGTAATCTTAAAATCCATATTTGTCGAATATTATACTTCTAATCACCTTGTTATATATACTCACAAAATGTTAATTAAGCATTATTCAGTGTTGGTCATGTTTTCTAGACATAATTCAATGGTGGTCATGCTAATCAGATTTATATTATTGACTGTATTGTAGTCATGATAGTCAGATTTATATTATTGACTGTATTGTAGTCATGATAGTCAGATTTATATTATTGACTCTATTGTAGACATGTGGAGAAGCTGACTTTATTAATGATACACTACCCCAGTATGGTGAGGTTTATGCTGCATTTGTTATCAGTACTGTTGGTAATGCTGATATAGATGTCATTGATCCATCACCAGCTTTGGTAGGTATTATATAGATATATTGATCCTTCACCAGCTTTGGTAGGTATTATATAGATGTTATTGATCCTTCACCAGCTTAATAGTAGGTATTGTATGTTACTGATATAGATGACATTGATCCTTCATCAGCTTTCGTGGGTATTATATGTTGTAAATACATAGTTGGGCATAAATATTATCAGTAGAGTGTGACCCGTGCTGGAAAAGTGGATCAAAAGGCTCACAGTAGAATGAGTTACGGGCAAAAGTAGTGAAAAATTTGGATTCGGGTCAAAATTGAGAATTTTCATAAAATTTAGCCCATAACGTCTTAAAAAAAAGTACCTTTATTTGGAAGGTTTGTAAGAGTTACATACTCAATTTCCAAAACTTCCTCAATGTGACTCATTTTGATAGCATGTTTTCATAGACAAAGGCATTGTAAACATGATTATCTAGGCCTTTTTTTTAAAAAAAAAACAACATTTGTTTGCATGTGACTGGATAATTGAATATATTTTCAATTTCATGCAGAGTTAACAGGTAATGATCCTGTCACCAAAACCTTGAGTATGATATACCCTATATATATTGATCAATGTTTTGAGATTGTCTCTTTAAACTTGTAAGCATTGTTTGACTAAACTGAAATTCAGGATCAGCAATGAATTATTATAACTGATTTCAAAAACTTGAATGCACAACTTCCAAATGCTTGGGGTTGGATGGCTGAATGGTTAGCATGGACGGGCTGTATCATATAATCTGTCATTGTGTCAACTGGCGTGGTTTCGATTCCCCGGTTGTACGTGACAAGGAGTAGGGTCGTCTGTCCAACTTCTATGTGCAAGCGAATTATTGAAATATAAGTAAACCATACATTAGTCCCAAAATAACCTAGTTTTTGTCAATTGCACTTAAATCCCATCTCTCTCTCTCGCGCGCGCGTGCACTCTCTCTCTCTCTCTCGCGCGCGCGCACTCTCTCTCTCTCAAAATGCCTCTGTTCTGTTTCAAATCTATATTCCAAGTACTTTTAAGTAATATCTGTAATGTATTGTTTGCATTGTTTTTCAGGCAGTACCAGGTGTATTAAAGTATATCTCAGCTAAAGATATACCAGCAGGTGGGATAAATAATTGTTATCCTGTAAGTGATTCTGCAGCACCTGAAGAAGTAAGTAGTACTGAGTAACCCTTTATCACTTGCAGGTATATAGTAGATGTTGACTACCGGTACCCCACTTTCTTGAAGAAATAAGAGAAAAATTGATATATACTCTTCAAAAAAAGTAGGGGATATTCAGAAACAATACAAAACTGTGGAAATGCACTGCTGTTTTTATTAGAGGTAACCAGTGTATGTTAATAACAGGCCAATTGCCTACACATGAACATAAACAGTTCAAATAGGCAGCTTATCTGACGGCCCCATTTCACTCGCAAAGAGATACACCATCAAAAGTAAAAATGGACGTTTTAGATTTTTGTCTTAATAATGAGTAATTGCTCCACCAATCCTCAGACATTCAGCAATTCGTTGTGGCATGCGCCTAATCAACCGTCCAATCACGATTTGGGTCAATCTGACCCAATACTCTTGCAGTGCCACGGCCTATTCTTGCAGTGTTGTCGGTTGACGTTGACGAACACATCTCCCGATCAAAATTAAACGTAACACGCTAAAGCAAAGATACGCTAAACAGTAAATCTATATGCAAGAACTGATAGGAAAGCAAACATGGATAGGATAAACCAGCAAGCGGCAGTTTTCATCAACCCTTCATTGAAGTGTCAAGTTTGACAATGAACCGCTCCTACGTGTATGGGGCTATTGTGTGTCGCAAATGTAGTCCAGTGGTTCTGTTGGGGCGATAAGTTCTTCATCTGTGAACATACTCTCAAAGCATGTCAAGTGTCTATGACTATTTATCATATCACAACCTGCATAGGTATTTGCATTTCAATATCCCCTACTTTTTTGGGAAGAGTATAGTAGTATGTCCAGGGACAGTCTGAATCCGTTGTATAGTGTTGAGTAAATCTAATTGATGAAAATTATGAAAAAAAGATAAGAATAGATTTTGTGTTATACTTTTCAGGTATTTTGTAGTGGTAAAGTTAATTTTGCTGGTCAACCTCTTGGATTGATAGTAGCAGGTAAGTTAATATTGGCATTCATTACAGTTGTAGCCTGATTAATGGCATTTGCTGGATTTCTGAATAGCTTAAATATATGTTGATGGCTTCTGGGAACAAGTTTCTATTAGTCACCACTTTACATATTAGACACTGCCATAGACAAAACATGGTTTCTTTTAACCTATTAAATGTCTACTTTTGTTAACGGAGTATAGTGGAACAAACATGGTATATTATATATTTCACTAGTAGGACTTTCTGGCAGTTGAAAAAACAGGTATTCCCAAAGAAAATGGTTAGGAGGGTGGCCCTACTCCCTGCCATGTATAAACATAGGTTCAAACAATTGACAATTGCAATTGTAACAGACCTAATAGTGATCTATATTTCATGCACAAGACCACTCGGCCACTCAATTATACCTAACAATTAGTAGCACACTCATTTACATACTCAGAGGAGATCTAACATTGCAATAAAACACCCGCTTACATTTCAATAGCAAATTCATTTACATTCTCAGAGAGCACCATACATTTCAATAGCACACTCATCTACATTCTCATAGATAACACCTAACATTTCAATAGAACATTCATTTACATTCTTAGAGGACACTTAACATTTCAATAGAACATTCATCTACATTCTTAGAGGATACCTAACATTTCAATAGAACATTCATCTACATTCTTAGAGGATACCTAACATTTCAATAGAACATTAATCTACATTCTTAGAGGACACCTAACATTTCAATAGAACACTCATTTACATTCTCAGATAATTTCTAACAATTCAATAGAACATTCTCTTTTATCCTCAGTAAAATTGAACTGTAAAAAAAAAATTATCTTACCAAAGATTGAATGAGAATACGTTTTTTTGATGAAACCTGTAGGCCTATACAATTTTCAGTAATTTTCTAATTACAATGTAAAACGAATTGTGTTTATTTTCAGAGGACCAAATAACTGCTGATCGTGCTGCTGAAATGGTTAAAGTTACGTATAAAAATGTTCTGCCTCCGATTTTAACTATTGATTCTGCCATTCGAAATAATTCATTCTTTACACCTATAACTGGACTTAGTGCTGGAGATCCAGATGGTAAGTGGATGATGAAGGAGCCTTGAAATGTTGTCGTATATTGTTCTTGTGTATATCCATTAGCCAGTCACTCTATCTGCTCATTTGTCTAAATGAAATAATACTGTCAAATTTCAATACTTTCTTATAAATTCTTTTAAAGTTATTAGCCTTTGCTAGTGGCAAAAGTTATCATCTGATTGTTTTAAAATTCAGACTTCAGACTCTTTGATGAAAATAGTAGGCCTATGATGTAAAAGCCTATTCATATTAATTAAATGCAGATATATATTATTTAGCACAAGGTACAATTTTATGGAAACACAGTGTATATATTTATTACTGTGCAACATGTGGACGAGGATAGACTACTCTTGTCTGTATCACACAAATTGTGCACTTACTAGGATAATGAAGATGGGCCATAGAGTGTGCTAGGAAGAAAATTTTGCCTGGACAATATCACTGCAGCCTACTGTTATGTCATATTCCAACTGTCGAAGGGAACTTCTTTTATGTGCATGCCAATGTGTACACAGGACCTCAGTTTAACGCACCATCTGAGCAACTTTACATTCTTCCTTGCCACGCCCTCCGCCCTGCATAACTGACAAATGGGATTCATGTTGGAAATTCCTGATGAACTTCAACACCAGGATCGAAAATGGGACCTCCAGGTTAGCGAGCCAACTTCTTGCTCACCGAGCCACTGTGACTTCCAACAGCATTATGAAGGTGACTGGTACATCCTTCCTTGCCAGGCCCTACGCCCGGCATAACTGACAAGTGAGATTCATGTTGGAAATTCCAGATGAACTTCAACACCAGGATCGAACATGGGACCTCCAGTTTAGCGAGCCAACTTCTTGCTCATCATAGCACCTTGGCTCCCAACAGCATTATAAAGGTGACTGGTATATAAAAGCATATTTCGGTGGATTATGTAGACCTATATTTGTACAGATGAATTTTAGAACAAGTTTCACTGTATGTTATTCATTATTTGTGTATCTGACCATCTAATAATTATATTATTTGTATATGCAGGTGCCATAGCTAAATCAGTTCATAAACTAACAGGCCAGATATCTTGTACCGAACAGTATCATTATCATCTCGAAACACAGGTAGGCTACTTATCTCTTCATGCAACAAAGTTTATCTTCAAATTCCAACTAGGTGCACTTACCTTGTCAGTCCCACAGGGACCACTGCAGACAAGTAAGAACCTGGCCATGCTTGGAGTCTAACCTTGGACATTCTAGCTGGACTCAAGACTAGCAATATTTGTCCATTGGCTTCAATGTTAAATGACTGTAACATCACAGGCTGTAGCGTTTTCCCCAACATTCTGTTGATTCCAATCTTTATGGCACATAGGGGACCGCATTTGGCAAGCTTCTCATCATAATTTTGTAGAGCGTCGACCTTTAGATTTTTTGCTACACAGATTTGAAGTTGACTGGGGTGAAAACCTCACTTACAACACCATGATTGCTCTGCAGAAAGACTCTTTACACCCCCTATCCCTCCACTGTGATATCATCAGTATTACCCAAAACTGCTATGAAATTGCAAATTTGATCCCTTTTCTCCAATTCTAGACCAAAAAGTCAACCAAAAAATGCAGGAAGAGGGGAGAAAAAAATTAAGGGAAAAATTCCATCATGAAATAAAGGGAAATAATTACTAGTCTTAGTCCAGCTAGTTGAGAATGATTACCCTATTTCTCAACCACGCATCTTAAACATGAAAATATAGATTTCAAACAAATCATAGACATGAAAATATGAATTTTAAAAAAAAGCATAGAAAAGTCCTCTCTAAAAGGTCTAATCTAATGCTAAAAATATGAAAATATAAATTTCACAGAAAAAATAGAAGAGACCTCTATAATAAATTTAATGCTTAAAGCATGAAAATACAGATTTCAAAGCTAAAAATTGTCATATTCTTTGGAAAATACATCATACTAATTTCAAAATCCGTCCAAATTTGAAACTACTAAGAATGATTGCATTAAAATAAAATAAATTAGATTTGTCTCAGTATGAAGTGGACATGAACCTCTACCTTTCTTTTTCAATAGATATCAATTTGCTACCCCACGGAAGATGGAATGAATATATTGGCAGGTGCACAGTGGATCAATGGAATTCAACGAGCAGTTAGTCAGGTTTTAAATGTCCCTGCTAGTACGTAAGTGAACAATATTGGTGGCAAGTATATTTTCAGCTGCTGCTATATGTTATTATTAGCAACGAAATTATGGGGCGCCGTTTGTAAATTAATTATTTAGCTTTTTATAGAGCAAAAAACACTAGATTTAATTTAAATTTATATATATAGTTAAATCTCGACTTTTGTGCAAATTTTTCACTTTTAATATTTAAACTAAAAATACAACAAAAACTCAATATTTAACATAATTATATATATATATATTTCTTGATTTGTCTCTATTTTCATATTTAACATTTAGCATTGAATATTAAGACCAAAACAAGAGATTTGATGATATATAAATATTTAGCTAAATATTTAGTTAAATGTTTAAACATTTAGCTAAATATATATTTAGTTAAATGTTAAAATATTTAGTTAAACATTTATATATTTAGTTAAACATTTATAGATTTAGTTAAACATTTATATATTTAGCTAAATAATATATATTTAGCTAAATAATATATATTTAGCTAAATAATATATATTTAGCTAAATATTTATATATTTAGCTAAATATTTATATATTTAGCTAAATATTTATATATTTAGCTAAATAATTATATATTTAGCTAAACATATAGTTAAATTTACAAAGCGCAACCGTACCACGCCGTTTGTAAAATAATTATTGTTGTAAGCGACTTCACACTAAACGATGACGTAGTGTACAACTTTCCATTGACTGCACAACACAATACTAGGGACCTTTCGCACCGGTACGAAAACAATAAGAAAACGTCATCGATTCGTGCGTACATGTGACGTCAATCCGTAATGAGTATTCGGCCAGTGAAAAACGTTATGCGTATGGAGCTGGATTTACGTAGGTATGCAAACGAATATGTTTCTTGTCTCATATATTGAATTTTTCACCATTTTTCGAGCCTATGTGTATATTGTTAATTGTGTAGTGTTCGTAAAATGTGCTCACAAGGAATATTCTGCTTGATTTGTTTTACATCTGCCGAAAAATCGATTGAAAACCTCGCCTTGACCGAGAAGTTCATGGAGTGGAAATTAACGCCATCTAGTTATTATCGTACGTCGGATTGCGAAACCGCGTGTTAGAGGATACGAAAACGTAAACGAACATATGTTCGTTTTGGTGTTCGTTATCGTATCGATGCGAAAGGTCCCTATAATCTACGTCCTCATTGCCTTGATCTGTGCGAACGAATTGGAGTACCGCGGCCGTGATTCGGGTTACAAGTTCGTGGTCAGCTTCCATTTCTAATTGCTAGTAGGCCTATTGTGCCAAGGCTCACGTGTCGGGTACATGTCATCATTTTATGCACAGTTTTTTGTGTCGCTTACGATAATAGAAATATTGGCGGGACCACAAATATATATTTAGTTAAATATTTATACATTTAGCTAAACATATATATTTAGCATGATATTTATATATTTAGTTAACTGTTTATATATTTAACTAAATATATATATTTAGTTAAATGTTTATATATTTAGTTAAATGTTTATATGCTAAATGTTTATATATTTAGCTAAATGTTTATATATTTAGCTAAATATTTAACTTTAGATTTTTCAGTGATTTAGTATTTAGCATTTATACCTACGAAAAACAGCAAATTTAGCTATATATTTAACTAAGCGATGTGAAATCAAGATATAACATTTAAAGTTTTTCATAGACCAAAAACTCGACTTTTAGCTACAATATTTTTTGATATTTACATATATGCCATTTTTGTTCTAATAATTATCTAAATATATATATTCGGAGTTAAATCTAATGTTTTTTGCTATAAAAAAAATTAAATAATTATTTTACAAACGGCGCCCCATACGAAATAACAATATTTTAGCCTGAATATGCTTAATACATATTATTTTTGATTTTGAAATGAGAATAGAAACTATCTCAAATTTTTGTATGCTATCACTTTTGTCTGTCGGTCCTCCAATAATGTCTTGGGTACAAATTTATTTTATCTATGCAAAGCACAAGTTATCTTCCATTAATGTTGAAATTGATTGAGCTTGTATTACAATATTTGTTAAAACTCTGTGGGATCGTTCATAATGGTATTGTTCCAATCTTGTTCCAATCGTGAATTTTAAATGTATTTTGTAGTTATATTTTTATACACATTTTGACATGCAAAATTTTTACAATACCAAATTTAGAAGTTATGTGATAACTAATTTCAGAGTTATGGCCCTTGATCACCATGGAAAATTTTTTCTTTCAGTATAACAGTAGAAGTAAAGAGAATAGGTGGAGCTTTTGGGGCTAAAATTACACGTAATTGTCCCGTATCAACAGCTTGTGCATTGGCAGCTCACATTTTAAACAGGTGAGTTAATTTATGATATTGGCCAGTCTGTGTAGAACAGCATAGGCCGCTTTACATCATTATTTCATTTTATTTCTGAAATATATCTGTGACAGCTCACAGTAGGATGCTTTACACTATTAATTCATTTAATTTCGGAAATATATCTAGTGTGACAGCTCATTAGTCAGTGCAGACCAGTAGGACAGTCCATGCTATTTCATTTCATTTGGTATTGGATTAAGCCTCACATGAGCTTGTTTATAATATTAATATGTTAATTTATTAGACCTGTTTGTATATTGCTAATTCAGACCTGTCCGTTTGATGGTGAATATCCATACCAACATGAAAACACTAGGAAAAAGAATGCCATGTCAAGCTCGATATACAGTAAGTTTAAATTAAAAACTTCACTCTTGATTGATTGAAACCATTTAAAGATATTTGACAGAATTTAATGTAACATTTAATTGGAAAAATATATCTGGCTGGAAAACCAAATATTTTGTTTCTTTCATAATTTATGTGATACCTGTCTCAGTATTTACTTAAAGTTTGTTATTGTGTCAAGCTCTTAGTTGTGTACTTAGTCGGAATTCGAAATAAGACATGTCAATAGCATTTGCTACTGTCCTGGTAAAATTTCTCTCACAGCATGCATGTGCCTGGTTTCATTAGAGCGGTGGGGTTGGATGGCCGAAAGGTTAGCACATGTGCGTTGTATCAAGGTCTGTCATTGAGTCAACTGGCTGGTTTCAATTGCCAGGTTGTATGTGACAAGGAGTAGGGTCGCCTTTCCTTCCACTGCTACAGAACCCCTACGTACAAGAGAATTATTGAAATAAAAATGACCTAGTTTGTGTTGAGTGGATGTTAAACCCCATTTCCATCTCTCTCTCATTTGCCTGGTTGGTGCAGAAACATCTGACGTTAATGGAATTTGTGTCAACAGGTTGGTTTTACGGATGACGGTTTGTTAAATGGTGTTAAAGTTGACTATTACAATGATTGTGGAATGACAGCTAATGATATTTCTGGCGTTGTCAGAATGCCAGGATGGTTAGATAACGGTAAAATCATTTTATTCTAATTAAAAAAGAAGTAAAAATTCATCACTCTGTTCATATTTGGGACCTGTTTCTGTAGACACAACCATTGCTGTGTTTAAATATGTTTTTAAAATCTGAATATTCTTTCACTACAAAATTTTGCCATTCAGTATTTCATTTACATTAGATTAGAATGATATTATTTACGAAGAATATGATAATTTTTTTTAGCATTATTCCAATTTCTAAATGTTTTAAGAATATTTTTAAACATATACCGGTACTGTATGTTAAAGAGGTATTATGTAAGAGCTAAATCTGCCTATTGCAGGTCTTTCTTTGGGCCTTAAATAAACTATTAATTAGACATTTATTAACATGACAAGACCATAATCAACTCTGGCTTCGATTTTAAGTAGATTAGAACTGTTTGGCCATTTAATGATTTAATTTTAAGATGGAGAAGCGAGGCGAAGACTCGAATGACCAGTATGGTTATTTTGATCAATGCACACATCTTGTCAAAAATACAAACACTGATAACTTTGCTCAAAATAAAGTAATTTAAATGGAATGTTCAATATATATTCATTTTGCATTGTCTATTTTTGAAATATTATAGCGAGAACGGTCAGCTCTTTATCTAAATCTTACATAATGACCCTTTAAATTGAATTTATTGTGTTTTAAAGTCAAATTCTTTGAAATTCCTAATTTTATGGCATATATATTGAGAAAAGAGCCATCATCATCATCATCATCATAATTAATAATAACAATGATAATGATAATAATTCTTGTATATAGAGCATTACAAGATACAAATAATGTCTCAACGCGCTTTACAATGTTGTGTGTAGAAGTTGAAGTAAATTAATTAAACATTGCTAAACATTTAAAAATGGACGATTAATACTCTTTAAATAAAAACACTCTATCCCAAATGTTTTGTTGGACTTTATGGTTGGCAAGTTGAGTCTGACCGCTATACTGACATAAGATATATTGTTGGGTTGTTTTTCTTTTTCAGCGTATTATTGTGCTAATTGGAAGATGACACCATATTTATGTAAAACAAATAAACCACCACATACTACATGCAGATCACCAGGTAATTTTAGTCAGTTTTATAAACAACAGGTTAAATATTTCATCTGTAGCTGGAGAGCTGACAGAGAATAATAGCAAGAATAACACAGGTCACATTCAAGAACCTTTGGTAGTTGGCATACGATGAAGAATAGGCAGAAAGCTGATATCCCATCATGACACAATGCATTCAACTTCACAAGGATTCCAAATTCCTCAGGTTGGATGGTCCAATGGTTAGCATGTGCACGCTGTATCATAAGGCCTGTCATTGAGTCAACTGCCGTGGTTTCGATTCCCCAATTATACGTGACATGAGTAGGGTTGCCTGTCCAACCTCGTGGGTTTTCTCTGGGTCCTCCATTTTCATCCCACTGCTAAAGACCCTATACGTGCAATCAAGTTATTGAAATAACAAATTAAAACCATATGTTAGTCCAGAAATGAACTAACTTGTGTCGAGTGGACATTAAACCACATTTCCCTCTCTCTCTCCAAATTCCTCAATTAATTTCATTATCCTGGATTGTGCTGTTCTGTTTTCATGTTTGGCTGTTAGTGCTGTTATCACACAATTTGAATTTGATTGACACATGTTCTGAAAAAAAGGACATTGTTTCACAAAGCATCCATAGGCGTGGGCTACATTTATTTTAAAGTCATATTTTCAAAAGATCAGACTTGGCTATTAGGAGAGTTTTCAGGTGCTTTCTTTCTTAATGAAAAGCAGTAATTTTATATTACCAAACAACAACAAATAATGTGGAGATAGAGAGATCAAGCATTTTTTTATAATTAATTTTCAACTGTTGTTTTCTTTAACTGATTTGTTCACATCCACATTGATATGTGTAGGATGATTATTTTTCGCGATCGTGGAATTCACATTCTCTGAATAGTCTGAATATGAAATTTATTTTGTGTAAAAATGTGGTGTTTTTTAACCAGTATATAGGAGAATGTACGCTTTTCTTAAACAATCGTCTATTATTTATAAAACTGTTCCATTATTTATTGAAAATAATGGACAGGTTTACCAATAATAGACACTTATTTGAAAAATGAACATGTATTTTGGGATAATTTATTCTCTGAACAAATTAAATTACAGAACATGAAAGTCTTTAAAACCTCATAGTTACCGAAATGTCACATGCCCGAATGTTGATTTCACGTGTTAGTCTACATAAAGAATTCCACTTAAATCCGTCTGTTATATGTCACTTGTCCGTTTAAAGGTATGTTCGGCACTAGATCGATGATACGTTTTTATACGCGAACATTTTCACGCCTTCTTTGTGGACACTCTACAGGTCATAACTTGAAATATAGGTATATATCCCAATGATCTCGGTTTCTCTCGATATTGGCTTGTATGGGACCATAACTTGATGGATTATGCCCCTGACTGTACACACTAGAGGTCACAATTATTAGCCCATTTTGATGAAACTGAACATGTGTGTTTATAACCCAAAGACCTCAATTCCTTGCGATATTGGCGCATATCGGCCCGTAACTTTGCGGATTATGGCCTCTGATTGAACAAAAAAAACATGTTTTGAGCCTGTGGAACCTATATACAGGTCATAATTTTTATCCGATTTTAAAAAACGTTCAAATATATCACCGTTACACCATAATGACAGTTGAGTTAAATTTCGTGAATTGGTTTGTGTCTTTGATCCTGTGTCCTGTCACTTATATCAGAGTATATTTAAAAATTTTAAATCAAAATTTGGACGGCTTTAGTACCCTCCATATTAACCACAGCACTAAGAATATTATCAATATCTAAATCATTCTTGGGAGCAGCCTTTCCATCACAACTTTGACGGCTATTATTCCCCATATCAAGAACATCACAATTTTTACAGCTATTATAATCCATATCGCGTACATTACCAGTGTAATCAGTATCCAAATGCTTATCACATATATTCTCATTATTAATATTTGTTTTCGACTGTGTTATAAACATGTCGTCTCCATGCCGAATATTTTAGACTGTCTGTGTATGCTTGCATTGTATGACTGGAGTTTTTTGTCACATGCATTCATGAGCATGTGCATGTTGTTTTAAGAATATATCCATTATTTTATGGCTTGTTGTTTTAGAAAACTATCCATTATTTGTATCTCGCTATGGTGCTATATGTTTGAAGTTTAATAAAAGCCTCAGACTATCCATTATGTAAATATAAAGAAAGACATCTAGGGCTAATGCCCCTCAGTTGTTCTTTCTATTTACATAATGGACAGTCTTCGGCCATTATCTATCACTTAGTTATGGGGTGGCCATATTCACAAAACATTGAACAAAACTGTTTTTAGAAAACGTCCTTTTCATTGGCTAGGAGCAAGAATTTGTATTAGGATTTTAACACTCAACCAATGAAAAGACAGCATCCTTAAGTTATTTTAGTTTAAGTTTCCAATAAGGACATTGGGGAGGCCATTGAAGTTATTCTTAATTTGTATCATTAATAATATTGAGAATCAGTTATTACAACAACATGTTTCCCCATTGATATCCATGTCTCTTTACTGGGAAATGGAATGGATTAAAATATGAAATGGAATTTGTCCATATCTGAATTGGAAAATTATCATCAATAACCTGGGTATCATTTTATCTTGTGTATCTAGCACTAATTTGTACTTGTGTCCAATTTAAAGCTATAACCATTCAATACCTTGTAAAAACATAATTTATCATTCATGTCGCCATCAAATTTCAACATTTTCAATTCCGTAGGTTTTCTCTGGGTCCTCAGGTTTCCTCCTACTGCTAAAGACCCCTACGCGCAAGCGAATTATTGAAATAAAATTGAACCATATGTTAGTCCCAAAATGTCCTAGTTTGTGTCGAGTGGACGTTAAACCCCATTTCTCTCTTTTTGTATATAGCCCTTACTGACTTAAGTAACCTTGCGAACAATTCAGTGACAAAAGTAATCATCTAAAATGTTTGAAATATAGATGCATAATTGTGTATGATACTATTTTGAATTTAGGGTCGACAACCGCTGTATTTATTATGGAGACTATCATGGAACATGTAGCTAAATCACTGAATAAAGATCAACTTGATGTCCGTAAATTGAACTTGTATCAACAGGGTCAGGTAACTTATAATTAGACTTTGTATTCCCTAGTGTGATTTTATTGTTCAATAGTCTGTGGAGGTGCGGGAGCGGTGGTGGCTCAGTGAGTAAGACGCTGGCTCGCTAACCAGGAGATCTTGGATTAGCTTCCGGTCAAGATGGTTTCTCGTGTCGTGCAGGACGGAGGGCCTGGCAAGAAACCAAGGTCCTGTGTATATTTTGGCGTACACATAAAAGATCCCTTGAGAAATAAGAGTAGGCTGTAGCGCTGCTGTTCAGGCAAAATTCCCTCATAGCACGCTGTATGGTGTATGCCCGCTTCATTAGCTCAGTCAGTGCAGAAAAATAGAACATTTAACCCCATTTCATTTCAAGTTGTAAATAACATTGGTAACCTTTATCCTGGTAATACCCCAAAAAGTACCTGTTACATATTTAATCATGAGTGTTTATAAAATAAAGACTAATGATTTTATTTTGTAGAAAACTCCATTAGGATTGGTATTAAAATATTGTAATATTCGATCAATGGTTACACAGTTAGAGACGTCTGCTCAAATTGCAAGCAGAAAGCAACAAGTTGCCCAGTACAACGCCGTATGTATTATTAAATGTGTTTAGTCTTCCAAATGAGTTTTAAAAAAAGGGGGGTCAATGTATGTGTACACATTGACATGGTAGGCGTAACTGAAAATTTGGCAGAAATGCCTCTGACCGCAACATATTTTCACGTGCAATCACTGAAATGAACAATAAAAATAATATACTATTAGTCTCAAATGACCGAAGTATTGCATTGATGATAAGTGAAGTCCAATTTTATTACATTTGGTATAATATATTGTTATATCAAAATATCACAGAAAAGGGGGTTTCACACTTACTTATGTTCATGAATCTCTATCCAATCATGGCGACTCAGTGAGTCAGATGCTGCCCCACTCTGCAAACCTCAACAGATTCTACGCATCTAATCTCAGCTGTATGACGAATTCCGCCATATTGAAACTATTTTAAAGGTCCCAGATGAAAAATGGCTGCGCCCATGGAGATTTCTGTGGAGAGTGTATTATATCAACAAACGTCAAGTTTGGCATTGGGTTTTGGGAATTACTAGGGAATTATATCAAACCAGCAGCCTTGAGACAATATCTCTGCTCGTTTAGTTATATACAATCGACAAAAGACGCCATTTTGGGACTTTTTTGTGAAAGCGGCACGCTTTCCTGTTAAAGTAAACCGGTAGCCACATCGCAAATGTATGGGCGTAGGTACATATCAATTACTATCATACAGCCGAGGTTAGATGTAGGGTACCTGAATCTGCCGAGGTTTGCCGAGTGATGCTGCCCCACTCAACAGTAGAAAGTTCATTACAATTTTCCAGCGTGGTTTACCCTTGTCAGTTATGTAGGAGGAAAAGCCAAGCCTCAAATAATGTCCTGTTTACATGTTGGCAGTTGGTATGATGCACATATTAAAGAACCCCTGGCAGTTGTAATGTGATGAAGAGTAGGGGGCAACTAGCCCAGCTGGTGCAGAAAAATAGAAAATTTAAACTCATTCTAATTACAATCTCTAAAATTCCGAATGGTTAGCATGTGCATGCTGTATCATAAGGCCTGTCATTGAGTCAACTGGCGTGGTTTCGAATTCCTGGTTGTACATGACAAGGAGTAGGGTCGTCTGTCCAACCTCGTGGGTTTTCTCTGGGTCCTCAGGTTTCCTCCCCTACTCGCAAGGGAATTATTGAAATAAAATTGAACCATATATTAGTCCTGAAATGACCTAGTTTGTGTCGAGTGGACATTAAACCCTGTTTCTCTCTCTCTCTAAAATGATACATATCATTATAATATGCTTAAATTGGACAGAATGCTGTACCTGTCTGCAGATCACCTCTCTTTGGAAATCACTCAGTAGATTATATAATTTCAGTAGAAAACAGCAGTATCTAAGTCATTGATGTATTGAATGCATTTAAGGAATGAATACTCTTTACAATTCATAATTTATGAAAATAAAATAATTGGCACTGCAAACCAGTTTCTGTCTGCCGACTATTGTCGTTTCAAAAATCTTATCTCCCCTGGCAGGTGCTTGTTCATTGTCGAGTTAACTATGTCATGTTTCAGGCCAATCGATGGAAGAAACGTGGTATATCTGTCATGCCATTAAAGTTTGCCGTAAATTGGAAAGGGTCACAGTATAACACATTAATTAATATTAGTAATGGAGATGGAAGTATTGCCATATTTCATGGTGGAGTCAATATGGGACAAGGAATCAACATCAAGGTTTGAAATCTTTCTTTCAAAATTGCTCCAGTTGTTTGACTACTACTACCAAGGAGGAACCCTATCAACTTTTTCAAATGTATAGTCACAAGGTTCGCACACACCTTGAAACGTCTTAAAAATCCTGGAAAAATGAAAATGTGATTTCCAGTACTAGAAAAACCTCGAAAAACAAGATTACTCCTTAAAACTCCTGGAAAATTAACATTTGTGGTTTCGCTATATATTTTAAGATATAAAAATGAAATTAGTCATCGAATGTTTCTTCAAATAAAAAAAAACAAGTACGAACAATTCAAACCATAAGACAGAATTTGAAGTCCTAAAAAACGTTATTGGCAAAATAGTGTATTCAAGCTAAATAGTGTAATCAGCAAATGGACTGCTCCTCGTGTACAAAATACACGACAAACAGTGGTAACAGGTGTCCGGAAGAGTAAGCTTACCCTGCCTGGCACCACACTCGCCATAGCTGCATCCAAACTATTAGGCGAAATGTCGGTAAAATAGCGTGATTGGCCAATGAACTATCGGTATGCAAAATGCATGCGATGAAATGTGTTAACGATGTAGTAGACATTATCAGGGAGATAGTAATAGTATACGTGTCAATTAAATATATCTAGAATAATAGCCGAGAGAGACACGTTATATTTACCAATCAAATCAATATGACGGCCATAAAACTTTTTAAAGGTTTTAATAAGTTTAGTGCGCAAGTATCCTTGTAGTTGAAGCTTAGATGACAAATGCCTCGATGTACTTAAAAAATCAGAATAAAAGCAACAAACTCTCGCGTAACGAATTAGCTGAGATACAAACACTCCATAAGCTGGTGATATTGGAATGTTACTACTAATAAATGGAAAGTTAACAATTGGAAAGTCAAAGTCATCACGCTTATCGTACAATTTAACACTCAGTTTATGGCAATTGTCAAAATCGAGACGCAGATCCAAGTAGGAAGCGTAATTGTCACTGTCAGTGGTGTTTTTAATTTCGAGCTCATCAGGATATATGAATTCTACATAATCACTAAATTTAGGATTATTAAGTGATAAAACGTCATCGATATATCGATAAGTGAAATTAAAAAGTCTGACTGATCGTTTATTAGTTTTTACGAGCGTCTGTATGTAATCGGCTTCGTACGAATAGAGAAACAGATCAGCAAGCAAAGGTGCAAAGTTGGTGCCCATGGGGATGCCAACCACTTGCTGATATATTTCCCCTCCAAATTCAACAAAGATGTTATCAATTAAAAAATCCAACATCTGAATTATCTTGATGGCCGTGAATTTGTTTTTGGAATCACTGTGATTCTTACACAAAATATGTGGAATTGTAATTTACAACTAAATATTGATATCTAGCAGTACCTGATTTAGACGAAAAGACACTGTGAATAATGTCTTTCAACCGGGCTTTTAATTTACTATGGGGAATTTTAGTGTACAAAGTAGAAAAGTCAAACGTTTGAATAGATGAGACTGAAGCAAGGGATCTAGATTGCAAATCATCAAGTAATTCTTTGGAATTTTTCAATATCCACATTGGATTTATACCACTACGAGAGTATATTTTGTCACAGTATTTTTGAATACCCTCTTTAACAGCCGTTAGTATAGATGTCAATACTTTTGAAAGTGGTTTTGTGGAACAACGGGATGAACCTGCTATAAAACGTTGTTTGTAGGGATTTTTATGTAGTTTAGGTATCCAATATAACAAGGGCAAATCTGTATAGGTATCTCCACACGGAGTACCAAATGAAGTGAATACTGATTTGTGATTGGATATAATTCAAAAGTTGACGACTTCGTCGCCATAAATGTTCTTCAAGCATAAAAAAAACCCATTATGATGTAGAATTCTATACAGGGACTCCTGGAAAACTCCTGGGATTTTAAGTGTTCTGAGTTGTGCACACCCTGTTTTTTGAGGAGTAATTAAATATGTAGTTATTAGTATTACAGGAAGCTCAGATATGTGAGCAGGGTGAAGTTCCTGAATGGTCTACCGTCTGTCACAAGGAGTAGTGGTTGTGTTTCCTCCCACTGCTAATGACCCCTACATACAAGCAAATTATTGAAATAAAATTGAACCATATGTTAGTCCCGAGATGACCTAGTTTGTGTCAAGTGGACGTTAAAAACCCCCTCTCTCTCTTCTCTCTCTGATGTTCTGATGTAATAAGACTATAATTTTATCATTACAGGTGGCCCAGACATGTGCATATGAGTTGGGCGTTCCAATGGATATCATAAGCGTAAAGAAGACATCTACTATGACTAACTGTAATTCTCATACAACCGGTGGTAGCGTTACAAGTGAACTTTGTTGTCTGGTAAGAAGATTTATTCTCTGCATAATAGGTTACTCTTGGTGAGATTTGATTTGGATCACCAAGAGTGGAAAGTATGCACACCTGTCTCTACCACGCTTTCTTTTTCAAAATTTTGCTACTTGAAGATATTTCTGATCATTATTTATGTAAACCTTGACACTAATACCTAAACTTAAGCACATCTTTTGCAACTGTTTTAGAGCACATATGTTGCACCTGTTTTATAGCACATCTATCACAACTGTTTTATGGCTTAGCCATCGTGACTTTTTTTTATAGCACATCTATCACAGCTGTTTTATAGTACAACTATCGTGAGTTTTTTATAGCACATAAATCGTAACTGTTTTATAGTACATCTATCCGAACTGATTTATAGCACATCTATAGTCAATCTGATTTAACAGATCCTATTTCGTTTCGTTTTTTATAGTTCAAAATTTCGTTTTACTTGTCTTCACAATACTAGGATCTGGAAGAGTTGTTATATAACAGGCATTCTAGTTGATGTGAGGAACTAGCCAATGAAACAGTCTGTTACAGGCGTGCTCTGTAAAGAACTGTGAGTGAACCCCTAGAAATGTCAACGTTGACTGATTAATCAATGTCTGATGATTGAGGATTATAAGTTCACATAATTTACTTGGGGGTAATAATAACTCGATAACTTCCAAGTCTACTGCACACCTTTGAGTTTATATTTCATAGTCATTTAAAAGATAATGACCATTGAATATATCGGGTGATAAAAATCTTTCCTGAGATTGTACTGTATGTTTATGTATGGTTTAATGGTCGAGAGCAAGACATTAAGTAATATACTGAAACAACACAAGTGACAATAGTTACGAGTTGTTGTTTATATATATTACGCAATTTCTTAAGCTTGAGACCATTAAAATACAGACACTTGCACGTGCTTTGCAATGAAATACGTCACACAGGTCCAAAATTTTAACTAGTATAAATAATGTACGATTGTCACATTGCCCGTACCATTATTTAAAATAATGATACACCAACATCAAAGGATGATGTCACATCTATATTTTAAATGATAATAAACTATTAAAATGAAAAGCATCATTTGTTTTTGTTTTTTTGTGGAGGTTTTTAAAAGACACTATAATTATTTATCTACAGAGTGTTATAGAATGCTGTAAAATGTTGAAGGAAAGAATGGCGCCAGTTAAAGCTAAGATGGTAAATCCATCATGGAAGGATTTAGTTGTTAAATGTTACAATCAAGGTGTTGATATTACAGCTAGATATGTGTAAGTTTCATCACCAGTAAAGTTTTATTTTTATAAAAGAGCCTTTAAGTAAGAGCTAAATCTGCCTATTTCAGGTCTATGTTTTAGCTTCAAATCTGATATGAGAGAGACAGAGAGAGAAATGGGGTTTAACATCCACTTGACGCAAATTAAGTCATTTCAGGACTAATATATCATTCAATTTCATTTCATTAATTGGCCTGTGCGTAGGGGTCTTTAGCAGTGGGAGGAAACCAGAGGACCCGGAGAAAACCTTCGAGGTTGGACAGGCGACCCTACTCCTTGTCACGTAAAACGTGGGAACAAAACATGGCACTAGACTCAATGACAGACCTTATGATGCAACGCGCCCGACATTTGTCAATCCTATAATCAACTTGCTACACCATCAGATAGCTGAGACTTGAATGGATTAAAACACCCACCAGATTTAAAAAGTTAAAGTGCACATAAGATGGGTGTGAAAACTTTTAGGTACGTGTAGCCAATGGTTACTATATCCACTTTACGGCAAGTTCACACCAATCTGTTTGAAATTAATTCAGCTATCTTCACTCAAAGTCGCAAAAATAGACCTCCCGTAAAAATGACATTGCCAATTATTGAAAACACTCTTAATCCACTCGGACGCCAGTGACGTCACAGTGACCGAATGCATATTCGGAATGTTTATTCCTTAATTACCTATATACAGCCGGCGTGTGTATTCATTAACACCTGACTGATTCCTTAATCCCCTAATTAAATAAAAAACAATTGACTACGAAATAATTTGTTTTGTAATTTAGATTGTTTTATAATGTCCCGCCCTCTCTTCTCACGACAGCAAGTTTAATACTGTGTTTTAAAGTGACTTTTTGATAGAGTCCTTCTACCATCGTGTGCAGTCCAAAAGATTCGAGATACATTTTCGTCAGAAGAGTATTGTGGTTCTAATTTCCCGAGTAAAAAGATGTGCTCATACAAAATATATCATAAAAGTAAATGATGATCCGTTATCAGAGTAGCCAACAGTATCTTGTTTCCTGTAGTCATCGTACGACGTCTTTCTTTCTGCATGTAGATTTCACTTTATTACTCTGAAATAGACCGTAAAAATGAAATACGAAAAAATATATCAATATACCTTAGAATTAAAAGTACAAATAAATTTTTTGGGTAAATGGAATAACAGATTGAGAAAGATCATCTAACTATCTTTGAGTATTGATAATAATATGGCAAGTGTAGTTTCGTTTATATCTGTCATTAATCAATCCGACTAAAGTTGCAGAAATGGGGTCATAAATTAATTAAGAATGCTGATTAGGTAGTTATCTTTTTTACGCAGGCCACATCAATTAGCTTTGCTCGCCGATGTTTTTGTAATAAAGTAGCCCCGTATTATTTGTTGATTGGCGTTTAAATAACATTTAATTGACTTGATATGAAATCTGAATATAAATCATTCGATGAATAATTGTTTGTAATAAGATAAGGTTATAATTTCTAACATTGTTTAAATTTTTTTATAATAAAGGTATTTTACAATTACATTGACAGTTTAATCACTCACCAAATCTTACTCTTCCGGACACCTGTTACCACTGTTTGTCGTGTATTTTGTACACAAGGAGCAGTCCATTTGCTGATTACACTATTTTGCTTTAATACACTATTTTGCCTATAACGTTTTTTAGGACTTCGAATTCTGTCTTATGGTTTGGATTGTTCGTACTTGGATTTATTTTATTTATATCAAGTGTATTTGATATTCATGTCCATGAATCCTCTGCAATTTTCACGCCAAAGTTTAACCTCATTGGCTGAGAAATAAGAGCGATCTATTGTTATGCATATAGTCATCAGGAAATTCCACATTCGCTGTAAATTTCAAATGGAGTTACAATAAAGTTGTTCTTTGTGTATAGAAATGGTTATTATTATTATATAGCTAATAATGAATATATCGACAAATGACTGGCTCCATTTGTATTTCTGTATGTATAGAGTATAGGTTGGGATATCAAGTATTACAGGGTTATCCAAATTAAATGGATCTACAGCATTATAAATTCACTCTAAAATATTCCAATCACCAATTGTCTAATCTATAACAATGCAAGACGATAATTCTGTGAGTATGATTAGGCCTGTCACGTGGTCATTGGACCGTCAATAGACACTTGTCAACTGGTGGTGTGTATTGATAGTGTTATATTGTACAGAGTGATATATTGTATAGATAATGTATGTAGTGCCTGTGACGTCACCAGCCAATCAACCGGATTAAGGTCGTAATTGAAAAATTGAAAAGCGTTTTGGCATGGTGGATACTTAAACGTTAACAGCCGAAATAATTTTAATCAGATTGGTGTGAACTTGCGTAATAGTGGATATAGTAACCATTGGCTATACGTACATGAAATTTAGATTTTTCGTCTTGCGTGAGATGAAATGGATAATTAAGACTTAGCCTCGATTGTCAAGTACCTTTCCTATGATTGTAAACAATCTACGCTACATTTTCAAGTAGCCATAATTTTGCTCAGAATAAAGTACTTTCAATGAAATTTTCAATGTATTCATTTTTGATACTCTGACAATAAATGTTATCATATTAAATTCCAACCATTTCTGTCAAGTGTTATAACCCTTGTTACACTTATAAAGGACATTGTGAACGCTATGACAAAAGTTAACACCCAATCTATATATATTTATATGCAGTATTTAAAATAATGACTAGAAGAAGGCTATTGAATTTTAACAATTTTCATTGAGTTATGGCGCTTGTTTCACTTTGTAAAACCTGCAAAACTGTCAAAGGCTGAAGTCATCATGTAATCTGTATGAAATTTATACGCATTATTTAAATTATTAAAATAGAAAAGCCTATCGAAATTCAACAATTAAAGCCCTTGTTTAACTTCAAATGTAGAACCTTGTGAACACTGTAACGACAAAAGTTATCATTTGATCTGATTGATTTTAATTCCAGTATGTTATGTGACTGACAAGCTGTGATTTGTTATTTTAGAACAGAGCCTACGAATGTCGGCACCTATACTCGTTATAATGCATATGGTGTGTGTTGTTCGGAAGTGGAACTTGATGTTCTTACTGGAGAACATCAAATACTGAGAGTAGACCTTCTGTTTGATGCTGGTAAAAGGTAAGACAATTCAACAGATTCAAATAATTGATCATCTGACAATCTGTGTAGTGATTTTGGTTCACCAGTGAAGGACCCCACTCTTAGTGGCGTGGAGTGGGGTGGGGTGGTATATGGTGCTTTCTAGAGTATGTCCTAGCATGTCTAGCTGATGCAGAAATTTACCGTGACACAATCACTCACCAATTCATCAAAAAATTCAAGTCTAAAATGACCCTAAAACTAAAAAATGAAATGAAAATAAAAAAAATGGGGTTTTATGTCCGATTGTTCTGCTCTGACTGGGCTAATGAAGATGGGCATCCGCCATGCAGTGTGCATGAGGGATTTTTTGCTTGTACAGCAACGCTAGGGCCTAATCTTATATCGAATTTCAACTGCCAAGGGATCTTTGTACATGTACATTGGACCTTGGTTGTTCATCCCATTCGAACAACTAGACAGCTGTCCTTGTCAGGCCCTCTGGAAAATCCTGATTTACTTTCTCGACCAATGCAGGGAGCCAGCGTTTTACTCACTTAGCCACCATGGCTCCCCTCAAACTAAAAAAGAGTTCCTTAAACTACTTATGAACATTAAAGGGACAATAACACTCTTGCTGGCTTGAAAGCTCCAGAAAATAAATAATATCTCTATCTAAGTACTAGATGTTTAAGTGTCCTACCTGTTGTGTAAATTATCCATCACATCCTATTTTACTTGTCCAGAGGGTTCGAAAATATTTTTAAATCGAAGTTTCATTTGAAAAGGTTTACGTTAGACGTTTCAAACCATTATGTTGAATTTTTCAAAATTTTTAAATAAGGTGTGTTAAGATGAAATTTGTATCATCAATTAATTGAAATATTCTAAAATAGTACAACTTGTTGACCAGAATAAAGATTGGGACATATTATTCAGTTACAACAAGAGTGGTATTGAGCCTTTAACTTCGTTAGGAGCCCTTGATTCTACCATCCTCTCATGTATCTTCTCTGTCCATGGCGGTTGTTCAGAGGTTCAATATTATATATCTTGTATAGTTAAATACTGCTCAGTAAATATGGAATTTGACCGCCTATTCTCTTATCTGAAATATTTTAATTCATTTAATGAAATGTGCTGATCCTGATTTAAAAAAAACAGATAAAGGAAAATGTATTGTTTTGAAAAAATCACAATGTATAGAAATCTGACAACTAACAAATACTAGTGTACTATATGGACTAGGAATCAAGCATGATGTCATCTCAGCCTTCTTGCAATTGTCTGGCAATCGATGCACAATTGTCCAAAGAACAAGCATGCCAAGTTTCATATCGATTGTATGTGAATTTACAGAGTCATAGCCTATAGGGTTTTATCGCCTAGCGTAGCCACCAATAAGAATAACAACAATAGGATGGGCATATAGGGGGGCCTGCAAAGCTGAAAAATGTGATACTGGAAGTGTTAACTCTAAAATTGTAATACTAAACGTCTAAAATCTGAAATTGTGATATTGAAAGACTAACTCTGAAATTGTGATACTGAAAGTTTTAACTCTGAAATTGTGATACTGAAAGTTTTAACTTTAAAATTGTGATACTGAAATTTTTAACTCTGAAATTGTGATACTGAAAGCTTTAACTCTGAAATCGTGATACTGAAAGTTTTTACTCTGAAATTGTGATACTTTAACTCTAAAATTGTGGTATTAATATTTTTTAGTATGAATCCAGATGTTGATATTGGACAAGTAGAGGGAGGATTTGTTATGGGTTTGGGTCGCTTTTTAACAGAGAGAGTCATCTATGATTCTACTACTGGTGAAAACCTTACATCAAATACATGGGTATTTTATATTCATTTTCTTTCTTAACTGGTATTTTATTTTATTACTATATAATGGTATATGGTCATTTCTATTCATCTCACCACCAACAGCGATTTAAATCATTCCTATTCATCTCACAGTGCCTTAAACCGTTCTTTAGTATTAACGCACTTTATAAATGACGATATTAATGTTATCTCTTTGTTATACATTCTTTGATGAAAGGGCAAATAGGAAAGATATCTTTGTTGAAATTGTTTGAGGATAAACTTTTTATGAGGTGTATTGGTACCCCATAAAGATATATTCATCTATTCAAGTTAGCCTATATTGCCTGGTTTCCCTTGTCAGTGGTGCGGGGTCAAAGGGAAAGGGCTGGAAGAAAAACTTCAAGTTATTGTTCAGGCAAATAGTACACTTCATTAGCTTATTCCTGTTGTTCACGGTTAATCATCAAATCGGCTGTTTCCGAATGTCAAAATGTGGAAAATGTTCCAAGGATCATTAATATGTAACTCATGCGACAAACCGATACCTGTCATTGTTTCATTCAAACAAATCCAGCCAATCAGTCGCCACTGGAGGAGAATTTTAGGAACCAAATTAAACATGGCTGGCGTGATTTCCCAGAGATAAACAATCGGTAAACTTCTCTCAGGGAGCCAAGATTGGGTAATTAAGGGATCAACCTATTGATTGTGTCATACAGTCTGATATATCATCCTTGGTTTTGAGCATTACCATGATTCTTTCATATTACAGGACTATCACCCACCAATGCCCAAGGACATACCAATTGATTTTAGAGTTGAGTTTTTGAAAAATTCTAACAACGTTAATGGAGTTCTAGGATCAAAGTGTAAGTTTTATACAGGAATTCCCCTCCTTAACCCTTTAGCACTGTGGGTCCATATAAATATTAAATTGCTAAATGTTCTCTGAAACAAAATAGAAAAAAGGTGATATTCCATACTGATACATCCCTTTAGACCATCTCAACCACCTGAATTATGTTAATAACTCTCTTTGTCCAAGGGGAGGTGGCACAGCTATTCATGTGAGATGTGCTGTTTGGAGCGGTTTAAGGGGTGGTAGTTTTTGACTGAATGGTTAATGTGTGCACGTTGGATCATAAGGTCTGTCATTGAATCAAGTACATGACAAGGAGTAGGGTCGCCTGTCCAACCTTGTGGGTTTTTTTTGGGTCCCCCAGTTTCCTCCTACTGCTAAAGACCTCTATGCGCAATCGAATTAATGAAATAAAATTGAACCAAATGTTAGTCCTGAAATGATCTAGTTTGTGTCAAGTGGACGTTAAACACCATGTGAAAGTAAAGTAATGTTCTGAATGTATAAACCTGAGAATGCTTTGTGACCTCAGGGCAAGATCCTGTGGTCACATTGGCATGCTCGTAAAGAAGCCTTGGAGTTGACAAAGCATTCTCAGACTTGAGTTAAGAATTTACTCACCTTTCAGTCACTGTTTATGAGAAATATCTTTGATCCAGAAGCACAAAACTTAGCACATTGTTTCTTATTGATGTATTTGATACACTAAAACAACAAAAGTTTTATGAAGGGCTATATTTTAGTTAAAATAGGGGGAACAATTTTGAATAAATTCTTAACTTAAGTCTGAGAATGCTTTGTGAACCCAGGGGCCTAGTGATCAGTAGGCCTACTGTATGTTAATTTATAAAACCATGTCATTTTTTCATTCAACAGCGGTAGGGGAAGCACCTGTTCTTATGTCCATTTCTGCTTTCTTGGCAGTAAAACATGCTATTGAAGCTGCAAGAAAAGAAATATCCAAGGATATATACTTCACTTTATGTGAGTTGAGCACTTTTTATATTTGATTAATTAATAGGCAATCCAAGTTGCTTCAGATGTTATCATTGTGAAACTGATACTGTTCAATTATTAACCTAGGGCCTTATGTTTAGAATAAGGCAATCTAGATCAATGATATACATAACAAGGATGAGGGTCACCTGCCAAACCTTGTGGGTACATTAGTATCCCCGTATCCTATATTACGTGGATGTGGGACCACATTCATCTCTATCTTTACAGGAGCCACAGTGGCTAAGTGAGTAAGATGCTGGCTCGCTACCTTGGAGATCGTTGGTTTGATCCCTAGTGTTGACCAAACAAAAAAGTTCTTCAGAATTTTCTGGCTTGGTTTCCCCTTGTCAGTGGTGCAGGACATGGGGGGGGGGGGGCTGACAAGGACAGCGGTCTAGTTTGGATGGGATGAAAAACCAAGGTCCTGTGTATACATTGGCGTGCACATTAAAGATCCCCTGGTAGTTGGAATATGATATAAGAGTAGGCCATAGCACTGCTATCCAGGCAAAATTTACCTCATAGCACAGTTTATGGCATATGCCTCTCGGAGCATTTCATTTTTATCTTTACAGAAACTGCCATTTGTTATTATCATCCCATCCAAACAGCAAGGAACACTTTTCATTTTTTGTTTCATTAATTAAGGTGCTTGTGCACTAACCAGGAGGCCCTGGGTTATACCCGAGACAGTTCCTTTAGATGTCCCTGCCCGCTTCCCACCATGTCATTGGTGGAGGACAAAGGTCTTAGTAAGGAACAAGGACTAGTCATTTGGATGGTACGAGAAATCAATGTCCTATGTAGACATGGGTATACACATAAAAGAATTTGATGAAGAGTATGTGGGATCATGGTTGTCTGTGTCAGATGTCCCTAGTTATCCCCCCTGGTACAGAAAATAATGATGTTGAACCCCATTTCAATTGTCAACTCCATATAGCTACCCCTGTCAATATTTTATACTGTTATATATTTAACCATTGGATATTATAATTAAGCTGATATGATTATTATCATATTTCATATTTATTTACACAAACTGTTTCATTTATTTATAGATGGACCTGCGACAGTGGATACAGTTCAACTAAACTGTCTTACAGATATCACAAACTTAACCTACGGAAATTAACCTTTAAGGCAATTAATCTAAGTAATAAAAAAAACCACAGAAAAACTATGAGATCAGTACTGTACAATTTACTTATGTAAATTAATTTTGAAAACAGTTCCATTTTTAAAATCAAATTTTTGTATTTATTAGCATAGCTGATTAATATTTTTTAAATATTTTATTCTCAGAAGTCGATTTAGGATCAGGCTAGGCCTATAATACCTCCCTCCAACAATATGATATTGATGAAAACAATTTTTAAATGTGAAACTTATCTCACCTACATACTATATTGTATAATATTCTAGTTGTTGATAATTATATATTTATCAAATTTCATTACTTATAAAACGTGGTTGTTGAAAGTCCATGTGTCCAACTGAGACACAGCAGTTTACATATTTATATGTATATTTTAGATAAAGACAAGAATAATGTTTAGATCAACTAATATTTCATAAGTAATATCTTCAACAACTGTGCAATATAGATTAATATTTTATATGTCAAATAATTTCTTCTACAAATGTGCACTATAGATTAATATTTTATAAGTCAATATCTTCTACAATGTGCAATATAGATTAGATTAACATTTTATAAGTCTAAATAATTTCTTCTACAGATGTGCAATATAGATTTATAGTTAATGAGTCAAATAATAGACAGTATCTTAATAGTTTATAAATCAAATAAAATCTTCTACAAATGTGCAATATAGATTAATATTTTATAAGTCAAATGTGCAATTTAAATTGTAGACAATTCCATTTTTCAGATGCAGCTGTGCATAACGATTTGGCCAGGAAAGATTTGAATTTCCAAATTGGCCTGGTGAGTTTAATATAAAATTTAGTGATAAATATACTCCCCAATGCCACTCAAGGCTTATATAATTGGGTACAACTATAATACAAATTGCTAATTGAGTGATTTGATCAGTTGATTTAAGCATTTTAATGTAACACGCTTAAGGGTGAAACTTGCGTTATGATTGGTCAATTAGACACTGTCGATTGGACAATTAACACCCCTCTATTTTAGTAATTTCTTTTAAAATGCTAAAATAGCATGTTACAATGTCGTGAACTCTTACTGAATGCGAAACAGGAAGTGTTTATCTCCTAAGTATCTGTTGGTTGTCCGATGCATCAATTGATGGACATTATAATAGGCCTGTTATTACTCCTACTTTAATTGCTATCCATATATTTGTTGATTTTTGTATTGTTGATATTTGTTAAAAAAAATTGTATTTTTGATATTTGTTAATTTTGTATTTTTGATATTTGTTAAATTTGTTAATCGCTATTGTTGAGTACATTATATATTTTTATACAAATATACATTATAACATTCTTGTTGATTTTGTTAAGTTTCAACAGTTACTGAGATTATTTATAATATCATTAATGTTTCAACGCTGAGATTATTATACTAATAAAGTATTATTATTAAAGTGCCTATTGTAATTCAAATTACTATAGATCTACATTATGGTTCCTGTTAATATTCAAAGAATGCTGGAAGTATGTCACAATCCAAATAAAATATAAAATACAGAACTAATAGATCCTGTGGGGCAATCAAATGTATGAAGCCGTTAGTGAATGACAAAGAACTCACCATACACTGTACAAGTTCTGACATATGATGAACATTATGATGAACATTACTGTAAATGAAGGAGTAATTACGGATTGGATAGTTTTAATATTTTATTTAGTCAATTTTGAGTAACAGGGCCAGATGAGATGCTGTGTTGCAGTTTACCAGAAGTTGCTTTTAATACAGCAGAGACATGCAACTGACTCCCCATCCGCCCCCCCCCCCCCCGACCCCTTATCTACCTCCCCTGTATTAAAATAAATATTGGTATATCACATCTAGTGATGAGAAATGGTCATGGTTTAACTCATAAATTTATTCAATTTGAGTTAAGTTAATGGACCAAAATGCATTTTTTTAAAAATAAAAGTAGGTGGACCAAAAATATGTTTAAAAACAAACGAAGGTGGACAAAAATTGTTTTTTTAAAAAAAATAAAGTAGGCCTTCTTATTTATTCTAGTAATAGTATGTTAGGGATTTAATTACATGTTTCAGAATATGATCAAAATACTTTATATCCAGATTAGCTCTCAAAATATCATCCATAGATTCCATAACTGACTTGGATATCCTTGGCGGAGCTCACTTAACACTCAAAGGCATGGACAATTGCATGGAAATATTGATGGTTGTGAGATGAGATGGTGGCTTTCCTATGCAGCATTATATCTGTAGAAAGTCAATTCGAGCATCATAGATCGAAAACGCACGTAATATCTTTTAAACTAGCTTTGGTGGCTTCGAAATCTTTATTTCATCAAATCGACAGATGCACATGGTATAAACATGCCAAATTTCATTAACTTTCTATGTTGGCATATCGAGTTATACCACCGCAAAGTTATACCACCCGGATTTGGGACGGCGCTGGAGGGTTCAATAAACAAGGGGTGCGCTCAAGCTTCACCAAAAAGCATCCAAACCAGCTTTGGTGGCAAAATCGGTTTTTTTTGTTTCACTGTATCAAGGGATGAATAAATTACTAGAATACAAGATTTCAGAGGCTTCCTTTGCTGGCTTTTCGAGATATATCACCGTAAACATACTAAAACTATGGGGAAATCGGGTAAGGGTAGGCTCATCGCGCACGCAATAACTTCTAAACTAGCTTTGGTGGTTTCGAAATCTTTATTTCACTAAATCGACAGATGCACAAGGTATGAACATGTTAAAATTCATTAACTTTCTACGTTGGCGTATCGAGTTATACCACCGCAAAGTTCCTAGCACCCGGATTTGAGGCGGCGTTCGTGGGTTCAATAAACAAGGGGTAAGCCCAAACCAGCTTTGGTGGCAAAATGTTTTTTGTTTCACGGGATCAAGGGATGAATAAACTACTAGAATACAAAATTTCAGAAGCTTCCAATGCTGGGTTTGTGAGAAATATTACCGTAAACATCTTAAAACTACTGGGGAATCGGGTAAGGGTAGGCTCATCCATCGCGCATGTGATAACTTCTAAACTAGCGTTGGTGGCTTCGAAATCTTTATTTCACCAAATCGACAGATGCACAAGGTATGAAATGCCATATTCCATTAGCTTTCTATGTTGGTGTATCGAGTTATAGCACCTCAAAGTTCCAAGCACCCAGATTTGAGGCGGTGTTCGTGGGTTCAATAAACACGGAGTACGCCCACACTGCATCAAAAAGCACCCAAACCAGCTTTGATGGCAAAATAATAAATTGCAACGATAATAAATCAAGTTTCTCGATTATCCATTTTTAAATTAAATTATTAAAAGGTGTATCAATTCATCCAAAATCACAACCATCCAATGATCTAGAGAGTTGATTATGGGCTTGTCATGTGAATAAATATCTAAATAATAATTTATACAACATTTTAAGCCAACAGAAAGACCAGGTTGTGCTCTTACAAAATGTATCTTTAAGTTGATATTTACAAATTAAGTTATTAATACTTCATGGGTTATACGTTTTTAAAAAAAAAAATTATGGAAATTGTTAGCTACCCGAACAATGTATCTGAATGACTTTGGAGACCCACGGCTGCCATCGACCAACAGCTGACATACAAACTATTTTGTTATTTCATCTAAAAAAAATATTTTATCTCTAGACTTCAGAAATCTCACATAATAAAAATCAAAAATTAGAATTTTATTGCAAAATAAATCAAATCAAAATTATATATACATTTCCAGGTGGCCGGGGACGGGGGATGCCAATCCCACAATTTCAAAGTTCTCTCGCAAACCAAAGATGTAAGTTTATAAATTCTAATATCAATTTGTAGAACTCTAAAAAAATAAAAACTCCACAAAAATTCGATAAGTACCCGGATTGTCAATTCAGAATTCGATTACAGGAACCGGGCAAAGCAGTGCATTGAGGCACATACCTACACAGCCATTCACACCAGGGCCCTCACACATATATACATGTATATTTACACAAAGCCCAGCTTAACTGGAGCGGGGCCCTGGGTTTGACTAGAATCACGGGGACCGTAACGCGACGAGAGGATTACATGTATTTCATATCCTTTTGAATGGTACGCATGCGTAACACACAATTAAACAATCTTTAATGCAAGAATAATTACATAATATCTGATCACATACGAAATCTATTCAGTTCCGAATGGCATACAATACGGCGAACGGCGGGGAACTGTTATAACAATTGAAATCACCGGATTGAGTTGTTGCAGAACAATTTACGCCTATGCTTACGACTCTAGACTACGGAAGCCCAGAAGGCTCATTCCAAATTCCAAATGCGAAATTCCAAATTCCAAATTCCAAATGCGAAATTCCAAATTCCAAATTCATGTCTTATCGATAAAATAGCAATTTGGCAGCCCCCCCCCCCCAATTAAACAAATTAGAATTTATATAAATTGTAATTTTACACAACTAATTACTTCTAGTTTATCTATCTGGGCCGAATACATACCCGTTCCAAATTACTAGATTCCAAATTCCAGATTCCAAATTCCAAATTCCAGATTCCAAATTCCAGATTCCAAATTCCAAATTCCAGATTCCAAATTCCAAATTCCAGATTCTAAATTCCAAATTCCAAATCTGATCCTACCAATCGGATCAGGTTTTTGCTTTTGACTAATCAGTTAGAGAGAGAGAGAGAGAGAGAGAAACGGGGTTTAACGTCCACTCGACACAAACTAGGTCATTTCGGGACTAACATATGGTTTTAATTTTATTTCAATAATTCGCTTGCGCGTAGGGGTCTTTAGCAGTGGGAGGAAACCGGAGGACCCGGGGAAAACCCACGAGGTTGGACAGGCCACCCTACTCCTTGTCAGTGTCACGTACAACCGGGGATTCGAAACCACGCCAGTTGACTCAATGACAGGCCGTATGATACAGCACGCACGTGCTAACCATTCGGCCACCCCCCCCCCCCCCCAATCAGTTAGAGTATAATAACAATATTCCAGTTCGGGTTTGCTTCGGCAGATGTGAACAGTTTGGGGCAAAGTTCCTCTGCAGTGAGCTACTCTGCTACTCGGTATCCTAGGACTGGCATTTTTTTTTTTTTTTTTTTGCTACTGCAGCAAATTTGGAATTTGGAATTTGGAATCTGGAATTTGGAATTTGGAATCTGGAATCTGGAATTTGGAATCTGGAATTTGGAATTTGGAATCTGGAATTTGGAATGAGCCTTCTGGGCTTTCGTACATACTACAGTATTCATTCCTATACATTTACCCTTGTGCAGTTACGTACGTCGCATAAAAAACGTTGTCGGCAACAAGGGGTAATGTAAGACCCCAGACATAAAAAGGTTTTTGGATGCATACTGTTAATCAAATACGATCAAACTACAGCTTCATTTAAAGACTGAATAATAATCAATCAGAGTGAGAGTAAAAAAAAATATTAGAGTATTGTTAAAACAGTGACGATATGAATTATAAGGTATTTTTGAAACCATACAAATCTACAAATAACTTTTATTGTCATTTCTACTGTAGAATCGTCTTTTGATGGGGTTGGTAGAATACCTAGATTTGCTTTCAGATCTTGATTACTACATTATAGTAATGCATTTTAGATTGTGGTCTGATTCCTACAAAATATACTCGTCACGTGTTCTGTTCTTCTCTGCAGCTGTCACTTTCCGAGAAGCGTGAAGCTGAATCGTCAATATGGCATATTATTATGCATATAAACCAATGCTGGGGAAGTTCGGCGGTTGGCATCTACTCTAGATGTGTGTACCCTAGAACAACAGGTTTGTTGAAGTCGGGCGGTGAATAAATATATTTTCATTATTCTAGGATTTATGCCACCATGGCAGCTGCAAATACCGCTCTTTCTGTTTTTGGAACTAGCAAATAACCATTTCCATGGAATCAACTTTCCAAGCGATTATTTCTGACAGGCTATAACCTCATTTTAATACCGGTATATGTTTCCCTAATTCATGTAGGTTTGCCTCTTGACTCTTCTGGCCCAAGACTGAATATTCACCAAAACCAAGCAGAAAATGTAAATTCACACACTCGGACTCTTCTTCAATTCCAGAACAAACAGTCGACAAATATTGCCATGCAAAAAAAGAGAGAGCGAGAGACAAATGGGGTTTAAGTGCACTCAACACAAACTAGGTCATTTCGGGACTAACATATGGTTCAATTTTATTTCCATAACTCGCTTGCGCGTAGGGGTCTTTAGTAGTGGGAGGAAACTGGCTGGAGAAAACCCACGAGGTTGTACAGGCGACCCTACTCCTTGCCACTTACGTAGGACCTACAACCGGGGAATTGAAACCATGCCAGTTGACTCGATCAATGCCAGACTTTATGATATAGCGCACACATGTTAACCAATCAGCCATCCAACCCCCCATGCAATAAGATCAAGAGAAAGGGTTAGAATTGCTATTATAATCACTTTCAGTACCAACAGACATATAATTTAATACTTGTTTCAGAATTTCAGAGCAATTAAATGATGGAAGCCACATTAAAATCAAATCATCTGGTCAGAGTGCTGAACAGTTCATCAGTCAGCAATGTTTGTGAGATAAACAGTGTGTCCAAGCCTGAAATCCAGCCAGAGCTAGGATGAACTATTCCTTGGAAATTACTTACAGCATTAGTGGAATGTCTTCCATACAATCCTGCAAGCATATCAGGAGATGAATATTTCAACGACCAAGGTAGAGCAATTGATGGAAGCCACTTTAAAGACACTGATAATCTGGTCAGAATGCTGAAGAGTTTGTTAGTTAACAATGTTTCTGCAATAAATAACAGTATGTCCAAGCCTGAAAACTCGACTCTACAATGTCAGAGAGCAACTACCTTACTAAAACAAGATTAACAATTGGAAATTACTCACGGTGTCCAGCCCAGCATTAGTGGAATGTGTTCCATACAGTCATGGGAGGTTATCAGGAGATAGAGATTTCAATGACCAAGGTAAGAAAATATCTTTGTGTTGCTTTACAAACAATATTTCACACAAAGATAACAGAAAAGTGTAGTTGGGATGTATTAGGGAGAGAAATAGGGTTTTACATGCACTTGACACAAACTAGGTCATTTCGGGACTAACATGGTTGTAATAATTTGCTTGCTTGTAGCGGCTGTGGGAGGATCTGGAGAAAACCCACAAGGTTGGATACAGGCAACTCTACTCCTTGTCACTTACAAACGGGGAAACGAAACACGCCACTTGACTTCTTCACAGTCCTTATTCTCTAATTTAAGCTCCTCACGTTAACCATTCGATCACCGAAACCCCATGGATTGTAAAAAGAATACATCTTTAGCAATATTATATAATAACATGAATTCTTGTGGAGGTATTATGTTGTCTTACCCTGGTCAATATGTCCAGACATCCACTCACTTTTGTTTGTCGACACTTTATAGGTCAAAATTGTTATCCAGCTTTTGATGAAACCTAAAATAAATGTTTATATCCTGGATCTAGGGTTCAATAACGAAAATCTTTTACATATAACCTGTGTACCCTCTACAGGTCACAATTTTTATACACTCGTGCTGTCTGTCCATCTCTTGCAAATTGTAATCATAGGTCTATCTGACATGACAAGCGCTTGTTTTAGTATTTTAATTGATATTTTTAGTACAGTTGCGGCCGGAACACTGGCGTTAAGGCTTGCTCTTATATCGATCTCCAGCGGTCAAAGGTTCTTTTACGTGCACACCAATGTGTAAGCAGGACCTTGGTTTATCATCCCATCCAAACAGCTATACATTGTCCCTTACGAGGTCCTGCACTACTAAAAAGGGGGAACCACTCTGAGAAATCCAGATGAACTTTCTCGGCCAACAAGGCAACACTGGGATCAAACACGGGACCTGCATCTTAGCAAGCCAACTTCTTACAACGTCACCGCAGACAGAGTATCATTCCAATAATTGTTCTGTTCCTCTGTTCCATTCAATAATTACAAAGATATAATGTGTGGACTGACAGATTGAAAAGAAAAATGTGTCAACAGTCAGATTGAAAAGGTGTCAACAGTCAGATTGAAAATGTGTCAACAGTCAGATTGAAAATGTGTCAACAGTCAGATTGAAAAGGTGTCAACAGTCAGATGGAAAAAATTGTCAATAGTCGGATTGGAAAGATTGTCAACAGTCGGATTTGAAAGATTGTCAACAGTCGGAGTGAAAGACATGTGAACAGTCAGAGGGAAAGACATGCGAACAGTCAGATTGAAAACGTGTCCACGTGTCCAATTTACAAGTGTTTAATTTCTCGATCACTATTCAAAAATTAATAATTATACATCAATAATCAAATGGGTTGTTTATATTTTAACAGTGATCGAGAAATTAAACACTTGTCAATTGGGCATTCATTATCAAAATTGAATGGTCAGCTTTAAACTGGACACAAGTACAAATTAGATGATTTTTAGTGATTTTAAACAATTTTTACGAATATTTAAACACGGATTTGATATTGAATGAATGCGAAAGAAATGAATGGTAAATACACAAGTAAATGATACCCAGATTACAGTGATAACTAGGTCATTTCAATAATTCTTTTGCATGTAGACGACCCTACTCCTTGTCAGGTACAAGTAGGGTTTTGTAATATAACTCCATAAATGTTAATTTAACATAATAACATAACATGCATGACCTAAAAAAAATGGCCCTTATTTATGCGTCTGCATTGTTTAGTGGGGGAGTGATATAACATAGTTAAGTATGACACATCTATAGATTAATGTTGTAAAGTAGGCTCTAATATCAATGTTTATAATTGTGTCATCTTCACTCAATAATACAATCAAAACTTAACAAACACGTCTCGTCTTGTGTATAGCAACACGCTGTAACATCCACATTTTATAGTTTAACACCTTTGGTGATGCATGATAACAATTTATTCAAACCTCATTTTATCTTTTATTATTCACTTATTGTATAATATCGGTTTACTGCATACATATACATATAGAGGGTGCAGGTATTTACGGTATGTGACAATAAGACCGCACTCAATGTCCTTGGCTATGGGTAAATTTTTCCATAAAATAAAATAAAAATTTAGTTTAATATCAATTTTTGGTTGATTTGGGAAGAAAATTTGCTATTTTCTTAACATGTGAACCTTTGTATGATTTAATGTCACATAATAAAAAAGAAATTACTCCTGAGTGAACATCCGGAAGTTTGCTCTCTTCTTACCCTGTTTTGGTTAAAATCATTGTTAGTTTGAGAAAAGGTACGTAATAAGTTTGAAAGTAGTTTTTAAAAGTTTGTAAAGTTTATTAAACTATTTTCATTTATAATTATAACCAATTTTACTTAACTTTAAATTATGTATGTGCACCGGGTAGTCTTATTTTCATCTTAAAATGCTTCTGAATACCTTTGATAAAAGTTTTGGGTGTGTCCCTCGAATGTCATCATACAGGTAATGGTCAAATCTATAAAGATGGCGCCCGTAAAATTAAAGATACATTATGGGAGATATTTATAGAGAGTTGGCCATTCTTGCTATAACAGTTCCAAAGTAGATGATGAAAGAAGAATATATTGAAAAATTCAGTCAAATTACTTTATTCTGAACATAGTTATCATCGTTGTAATATTTGCCTAGAAATGGTAGCGGCCTCGCTAAGTACACTCTATCATTTAAATCCGAGCTGTAGCCGAGCCATCCGTGGGTCTACAGAGTTGATTTTGGTCTTGTTGTTTAAATAAAGATCTAATTTATAATTTCTATAACATCTGAAGCCTAAATTAAGATTTACAATAATCAGATTTAGCTCTTGCATAATGCATGTTTAAAGATCATTCTTGTAAGCAAACTTTTAGGGTCAGATAACGGATGATAATGATACAAAAATGGTTTATTAATTATTATATGTTAGTAAAGCCACGTTGATTCGTTCATTCAAAAAATATTCTAAGAATGTTAGCATTGAATAAAGCAACCATTTTGATCAGTTATAGTGCGTAGTAAGGGGGGTTAATAGCCTTATAACAAGATGGCGAAACAAGATGTCTAAGTTTGTTTTTTTTCTAAACAATATTTATTCACAGAAACTGTGGATTGGAGAACAGGCAGAAGCCTACACTGTAACCTAGGTATCATTTAATCTTGTGTATCTAGCACTAATTTCTTTCACCTTCGTTTAATATCCAATCTTTGTTTAAAAATTTGTAAAAAGTGTTTAAAATCACCATAAATCGTTTAATTTGTGCTTCTGTCCAGTTTAAAGCTGATCATTCAATTTTGATAATGAGTGTCCAATTTACAAGTGTTTAATTTCTTGATCACTGTTAAAATATAAACAACCCAATTAATTTCTGATGTATAATGAATAATTTTTGAATTTTCTAATAGTGATCGAGAATTTAAATACTTGTAAATTGGACACTCATTATTAAAATTAATCAGTCAGCTTTAAACTGGACACAAGTACAAATTAGATGATTTTTGGTGATTTTAAACAATTTTTACAAATTTTTAAACAAAGATTTGATATTAAACGAATGTTAAAGAAATTAGTGCTAGATACACAAGATTAAATGTTACATGTACCTGGGTTACAGTGCTATAGAGACCCCCTCTCCATAATAGTACAAACATAAATATATATTAAAAAGATGTAAAAAAGAATAAGTGTCATATAGTATCATACTATACGTGTTGTCCTTTTAATGTATCCAACCTCGTGGGTTTTCTCCGGATCCTCCGGTTTCCTCCCACTGCTAAAGACATCTACGCACAAGCCAGTTAATGAAATAAAATTAAAACCATATGTTAATCCCGAAATGACTTGGTTTGTGTCGAGTGGACGTTAAACCCCATCTCTCTCTCTCTCTTTTTAATGTAAGGTTGTATGTGTGAGAGAGTGTACACTCTAGTGAGAGAGGTCAGTTAACTTGTAGTTGTCAGTGAGTTGAGGACATCATTTGTGTTGTGATATTTTTGTTCAGTTAATTGGAATAAACACCTCTAGAACTTATAAATACTTCTGTCATCTAATTATATGAATAGGCTTAAGGCCTATTTAACATGGTGGAGATGCCGTGTAAGTCATAGTATGATACTATATGACATAAGAAAAGAAAGTAGAGGAACGATTAAATTATAAGATGGCTATATACACTATATACACGATTTACTAAGATAAGATGTTAATTTTGGTGACTTTAGTCCATTTTGAACACCGTACAACACAATATATTTTCAGTAGGCCGATTTACACGTCTGGTCTCATTCAAAGATTGCAGATTTTCTATAAATTTATATTTTGCATGTACAATAGGCCTATTGTTATTTTCAGGTACCGTAAAGGTATCAAAATCTGAATCCCTGATAGAATGATATCGTTTTCAGTTATATATGTATATGTTTCAAATAATAAATTTTGATAAAGTTGTGGGAGTTTTGATATTGTCGCAGATCGGGCATGTCTATCTGCTTTGCCTATTCAATATCCAACACTCCTAATTTTTTTATTGTAAAATTTCTTTCCTCAAGGATCATATCTATGGTTTTTGTTAATCCTAACTTGTCCTCAAGATTTATGTTTGTTATAATAATCATTAATGCATGAATTATGGAGTTTATTTTGGGAAGGGGCACAACTCTTTCTTGACTTTAGTTAAAAAGTTCCATTGCCCATGGGTAACCAGGAGTTTGGTGTTTTATGTGGTTGATTATCCACATATAGTAGTACCTGTGGTTGAGGAGAGGGGGGGGGGAGAGAGAGAGATTAACAAACTAGGTCATTTTGGGACTAACATATGGTTCAATTTTTTTTCAATAATTTGCTTGTGCATAGGGTCATTAGCAGTGGGAGGAAATCATTCAACCATCCACCCCCCACCCCCCTGGATAATTACAATTGTCATGCTTCAAAAATTTCATAATAAAATTCATTATCGAGATAAATACTGATGTAAAATCGACATAACTTGTGGTGTATAAATGGATTAATGTGTAATGCGGTGGACACACTAGCCGAATGATTCGGCCGAATCAATCGGCGACGAAATTCGCCTAGTGTGTCCACTGTCATTCGGCCGAATGATTCGCCCGAATCAAACATGTTTGATATATTCGGCCAAATTATATTCGCCTGGTGTGTCCGCTTCGCCGAAGCATTCGGCCGAATATAGAATTCATTAGCCAATCACCACTCATATCGAGAAGTCACGTGATAGATTGAAGCCATAGACGCCGCCATGTTTAATCATGTGACGTGAAAGGTGATGCAATCGACAGGTTGAATCGGGCGAAGCATTCGGCTAGTGTGTCCACCCATTCGGCCGAATAAAATTCGGCACCGATTGATTCGGCCGAACCATTTGGCCGATCGATTCGGCTAATGTGTCCACTGCTTAAGGTGTGAGGTCAAGTGGCGTAGATTTGACTCATGAGTTTTCTCCTGGTCCTTCAGTATCGTCCAAACCCCCTACACACAAGCAAATTATTGAAATAAAATTGAATCATATGTAATGTCGGAGTGTGTTGGGTGGGGGGGGGTGTTCTCCTGGTCCTCACGTTTCCTTCCACAGTTAAAGCCCCTACGTACAATTGATTTATTGAAATAAAATTGAACCATACGTTAGTCCCCATTTCAAATTAAGAAATCAGATCTGATTAGCTACTGTTTCTTTCATCTTTCAGGTACCTGAGTCATGGCACTGAATGAATTATCAGAATTTGTTTTAGGGTCTATGCTCAAGTTTGAGCAAACGATTAGATCCGATATAAAATCAGTCGATTTTTTCATTAGTAATGATGAAGACGCTGTCATTATAAAAACTTCCTGTGATCGAGACAGAAGCCCAGATAAGACATCTGAAGATGGTAAAATAAATAAGTTCTACCCATTTCTTAATTCAGTAATCAATAAAGTGAGAAGTGTATTAGGTGAGTATTTTTATACATCCATTTTTATAACCAGTCATGTTTTGATATTTCTGATAATTTTCACTTATTGACCTTGATCACATGTAAAGCTCTTCTGTTGACGAGGATTATATATTTTTACCTTTGTGTGAATATTTTTCTAGGTAAACCTGTGCAGGATGACAATGAGGTTGTTGATGAAGGCGCAATAAAGCCAGCCACGTCAAATAGAAGAGAGAAAGAAATTTTGAACGAAACATCAACTCCAGCTAAAAAACAGAAAATCTTCAATAATGAAGATTATGGTAATGAATATTTTGGTAATTTTCACAGGTTGCGCCTCTTTCCCTCCTCACCCCAGGCCCGTAGCTAGCAGGGGGCAAGTGGGGCAGCTGCCCCCTCCCTGGAAATAATCAGCGCCCTTTCTAATGGACGCAATACAAAGCCAAGGACCAACGTTCCGATATCAATATGGGCGCCCCATAAAGCCGAGAAATAATACATAATGCCGTTTTTGGCACCCTATAAAGCCGAAAAATAATGCTGAATGAGATTGGTTGCCTGTCCACGACTTGAACAATGAGGTACATAAAATGGCATGATTGTTGGGGTGCCTCATCCCGTAGGGGTGCCCATGATGCCGAGACTGAGGGGCTACCCACGACTTGATCGCGGGTGCCTAAGCAAGAAACTGACCGCATACCGACGGCCAAAAAAAATAAACAATAAGAAAGCCAATTGGAAATTGTAGGAAATTTTCCAGGTCAAATTCACGATGGAGATGAAATTGATTCAAGCCCACACCAGGCGTGATAATCTTCACAACTCAAACAAGTCGCACACTAATCCGATTCAAGACTTGTTTTTCTCATAAATTATTATAGGTACTCTAAAGTCGTATTCCTTCCTTCAAATGTTTATAATGTTCATATCAAAATACGCCGATATAGCAAATTCAGCCTCAAAATTGAAATTTTCCATCATTTTTATAGTTCCTCTCCTCAGGTGAGAGCACCCTAGACCCTTCTTTGAAGGGAGGCACATCCACAGTGCCGTTCGTTTGTGTACCGTCAATTGCAGGTACATCGGCACTCCCTGAAGCCCCATTGGCACTCCCAAAAGCCCAATATTTTTGGGCTAGTTACGGACCTGCATACACACCCATTCTAATTGAATATAATCTTTGATGGGTTTTCCATTCCAGTTGTTCAGGGGTATGTTCTTTCTGTTATATTGATTTAGGAAAAAATGTATATTATGACTAAATTCTGAAACCAATTAGGAAACGAAAGGTACATTTCTGCACTGTTAATTATTATGGTCATTATTATCTTCCTACCAACACCTTTTTAGTACCTGATGTCCAAGGTATAGAAATAAAATGCAACAATAATGAGCTTAGGAAGAATATGTAACCAGCTCTACTTTATTCTCAATTTTCAACAAAGACATACATTTAGGATGAATCCCATTGATTTTGGTGTAAAGCATTGGGGTCATAAGAGGATGAACCCTAATGATATTCAGCATTTTGCAACTTTCCATTCTGGAATTATTCCCCACTTTGCCGAAAATCTTGTGACCACTATAGAGACTGTAATTTTTAACAGCCTTTACAGCTGGTGAGCATACTGTATTTATTGAAAGTCATGTAACGTTAATATCATTTATTATTAACTTTTACAGGTTTTAGAACAAAGCTTCTGTTTGGCCTACTCTCTTGGATAATCTACAGCCAATTGATATCTCCTGTCCGTGCCTCAGATAGGCCTCCTGTCCGTGCTGCAGATAGGCCTCCTGTCCGTGCCTCAGATAGGCCTCCAGTCCTTGGCCCAGATACATGTCGTAAGTTAATTTGATTATATGACAAGAAGTATATCTTGAAACATGAGACACAGAACAGAACAGAACAATCTAGGCACTAAACGAACAATCACACACCATCTATCTATATTTATATTTGTGACTGTCGTTTGTCTGTCTGTTTGTCTGTCTGTCTGTCTGTTCGGGGTTGGCGGCTACACTAGGTCTGCCCCGAGTCTGAAATTTGGGGTATAGGGGTAGCTCGGACCGGGGAGTAACATAGGCCAGGTGGCGTTAGTCTACCACTTCCGGTTTCGGGGGTTATGACCCCCGAGGGAAGCCGGGCATTCTTCTAGTACCATATATTTACATACACAGATAATAAATTGATTGACCAAAAGTTTACTTTACCAAGGGGGAAATAAACGTATATCTTTGAATTAGATAGTTTGCAACATTGTTTCTGTCAATTCAACTGTCAGTCCATAAGCTGTTTTTAGTAAAGCATATATAAATTTAACCAATATTTCTGATGGTCTGGTAAATGGTTTATTGGCATGGGAAAGGACAGATTAAAAGTCTCTTGAGAAACTGGTCATAAGTGCATCATCATAGGTCTAGTTATTATTATCTCACAGGTCTAATTATTGTTATTATACAAAAATAAATTGTGATTGTTACAAATTATGACTGGTCAGAGAATCCAAATCACAGGTATAGTTATAGTTGTTGTTATTATAAAAGTGATAAAATGTGATTGTTACAGATAATGATAGGTCAAACAATCCAAAAAACATGAAGGTGACACCAGGTGATAACCAGACGTTTAGGATTACATTCAAATGCCTGTCAGTAGTGGAAAATATACAGGTTGTGTTTTACCGGGACAATAGCTCAACTGTAAGTATCCTAGATCAAAAAATATATTCTGTTTCCGTTAACCGGACCCACCTATCAAATAACCTGCCGACTATTAAATTTTTATACGTTTATTGTTATTTTCACTGTTCGTTTAACCTGATTTGTGGGGCACCCAGATAATTAACTGTTAAATCACAGGATTTGTGAGGGGCCCAGATAATTAACTCTTAAATCACAGGATTAGCTGAGGCGCCATGAAGGGATGGTATCAGCAATGGCCCTTGAATTAGTGATGTTTTGTTAAATATGCCATTGCAAGTCTTTCTTTGGGCCCTTGCATTGGCCGAGAAAGTTCATGTGGTTTCCTCTTGTCAGTGGTGCAGAACGGAGGGCCTGACAAGGACAGCTGTCTAGTCCTTTGGATGATACGAAAAACCAAGGTCCCGTGTATACATTGGAATGCACATAAAAGATCCCTTGGCAGTTGGAATTCGATATAAGAGTAGGCAATAGTGCCGCTGCCCGGGCAAAATTTCCCTCATAGCACACTGTATGGCGTATGCCCGTCTTCATTAGCCCAGTATAGGAGCAGAACAGTAGGACGTTAAACCCCATTTCACTCGACACATACTAGTTCATTTCATGACTAACATATGGTTCAATTTTATTTCAATTATTCGCTTGCGCGTAGGTGTCTTTTAGCAGTGGGAGGAAACCAGGGGACACCCAGAGAAAACCCACGAGGTTGGACGGGTGACCCTACTCCTTGTCACGTACAACCGGGGAATCAAAACCAAACCACTTGACTCAATGACAGGCCTTGTGATGCAACCATTGGGCCATCGAATCCCCACAGCTGATATCAGTTTGTCAGGACGTCTATATATGAGCCTGTGATTTGTGATGAAATAATGTGCACTGATCATCTAAATATCTTTAATTGTTTGAATTAAAGCCAATAAATGACCTGGTTTGTGTCAAGTGGATGTTAAACCCTATTTCTCTCTCTCTCTCTGCAACCATTCAGCCATCCAACCCCCCCAGCTGGTATCAGTTTGTCAGGACGTCTATATATGAGCCTGCGATTGGTGATGTGCACTGATCATCTAAATATATTTAATTGTTTGAATTAAAGGCGATAAATGTGTGGAAGTTGTATGATAAAAAAGGAAATCAGCCCTATAATCCACATTTTAAAGGACGAATGCAGATTGAAGTTGATCTTAAGAATAGGAAAATGAAGGTGACTGTGAACAACATAACACTTCAAGGTAGAATTGTTGTGTGGATAGATTTTCCTGATGGTCGTATATATATTCCACAAAAAAAAGGTAAGCTTATCATCTCTGTATTTATAGTGGAGGGAGATGGAGGGGGCTATTGGTGCTTTGGACTAGTTTTGACTGTGCAACATGTGTATTAAAGTGACCGTGTTTAAGATAACATGCTCTTTTGCGGATGTTATAGTAGGGCTGTATGATATTCTCGATATAGTCATTTATCGCGATATGGTATTTTCAGACCTAACTACGATATCATGTGGCCAAAAATCGTCGATATAGTGGTTTATCGAATATCGCCAAAAACTTCAAATATCGAAAAAAATTATCATAAAAATAGATAATAAATACACTATACAGCAGTGGAAATTAGCCGACGGCAATAAACTATAATAAAACTAATGTTTTGAGAATCGTTAAATGTTGAAAACACTTGCGCAGTGTCCGCAGCCGTGTATGCGTTACTTTTACTTTGTTTTTAGTCGACAATAAATTGTCAGTTGTTACTCCATGTAAAGCTTAGGCCTACTAAACGCCTGAAATTTCCCACTACCGCGGCTAATTACCAGGCTATAAATAGGTTGTCATATTTTTTAAAAACAAATGTTTTTAGAAAACTCTACGAAACTTAATTTCTGAAAACAAGAATAAAACGATCTATAAGTAGATTACTGTCACTGTTAGGCCAGAAATACCGCAGCCAATCGAATGCTTGAATGGAAGATAGTCCGGATCATTTAGTATTTGTTAGACAGTTTGAACTTACAATACAGGACTTGAAGACCGCAACTACTTACTACCGCTGCATGTGATATTTGAGAATTTTCTTACTCAAGGTCACAAGCAGACGCTTTTTAAACATCAGCGGTTGTATTTAATTTAATTATATGTACAGGCATAAGTAATGTCTCCTGTTATTGTCCCCCTCCTTTCGAAGAAAGCAGGGGACTATTAAAATGGGTTCGTCCGTCTGTCTGTCCGTCTGTCTGTCCGTCTGTCCGTCCGTCTGTCTGTCCGTCCGTCTGTCTGTCCGTCACACTTTTTGGGACACAATAACTCTCTTCCTAATTGAGCTAGAATGTTCAAACTTGGTGTATGTGTTTATTAGGTCAATGCCTTGATGGAGTTCGAAGATGAGCATTTTCCGCTTAGGGTAAGCAGAGATAAGCAATTTGATTGGTTGATGCTTTGGGACACGATAACTCTCTTCCTAATTGGGCTAGAATGTTCAAACTTGGTGTATGTGTTGATTAGGTCAATGCCTTGATGGAGTTCGAAGATGAGCATTTTCCGCTTAGGGTAAGCAGAGATAAGCAATTTGATTGGTTGATGCTTTGGGACACGATAACTTTTAATTGAGCTAGAATGTTCAAACTTGGTGTATGTGTTTATTAGGTCAATGCCTTGATGGAGTTCGAAGATGAGCATTTTCCGCTTAGGGTAAGCAGAGATAAGCAATTTGATTGGTTGATACTTTGGGGCACGATAACTCTCTTCCTAATTGAGCTAGAATGTTCAAACTTGGTGTATGTGTTGATTAGGTCAATGCCTTGATGGAGTTTGAAGATGAGCATTTTCCGCTTAGGGTAAGCAGAGATAAGCAATTTGATTGGTTGATGCTTTGGGACACGATAACTTTAGTTCTAATTAAGTGAGATTGATGAAACTTGGTGTATAGATTTATTATATGAATACCTTAACTAAGTTCGATAATGAACATTTTTTGCTGAGGGTAAGCAGAGTGATAAGCAATTTGATTGGTAGAAACTTTGGAACACAATAACTCTCCTTCTAATTGAGGTAGAATGTTCAAACTTGGCATAGGTGTCTATTAGGTGGATGTTTAAACTTGATGTATATGTAGATGTTCATTAGGTGAATGTCTTGACTGAGTTCAATAATTAACATTTCGAGCTGAAGCTAAGCAGAGCTAATCGATTTCATTTGTCGATGGTTTGGGACAAGATAATCTTGATTCTATCTGATAGAGAGTGATGAAACTTAGTGAAAAAAATAAATGTGCGATTAATTAATATGTGTCATCTATTTATTTTGCAATTTCGGCGGGGGACATCAGCCTCACTGTTGGCTTGTTTTTTTTAAAAAGCATTGAAACGTTTTTATCCAAAAAGGATGTTGTCTTGTTAATTTTAATAAATCTATATTATTAAAAAAAGCAAAGGTTTAAGTGTATGAATAAAGCAATTCTTACCCACAATTCTTACTCACTCTGTAGTCAGCTTTAATGCATTTATATTTAATTTTTTTAATAGCAAAGTGACATTATTATTAAATATCGCGATATTTAACTATATGGTTGAAAAAAATGCCAATATCGATATCGTCCCTTTTTGCAATATCGTACAGCCTTATGTTAAAGTGACAGAGTTTAGTATTGTATCTATGTGCTCTGTTGCTAACACGCCTTTATTATATCTAAGTACAGTACAGTTTGTTTAAGTTTGGGGTGAAAGGTTCGGTGAGAGGGTGGGAAGTTCAGTGAGATAGTGGTAATAAGAGTAGACAGTCAACAAAATTGCTGTGCTGTCCACATCTCTGTTCTGTACTGCTATCATATCTGTCAGTATTAATAACAATAATTTGAAAGTCATACAAACTGTCACATTAAATATGAAATGAAATGAAATGGAGTGAAACATCGTACTCTTCTGCTCAAACTGGGCCAATGAAGACAGGCATACGTCGTACAGTGTGCTATGAAGACGGGCATACGCCATACAGTATGCCATGAAAGAAATTTTGCCTGGAAAGTGACACCGCGGCCTACTCATATATCAAATTCCAACCACCAAGGGATCTTTTATGTGCATGCCAATGTGTGCATAGAACCTCAGTTATTTGTGCCACCAGAATGGCTAGACGTTATCCATTGCCAGACCCTCTGTCCTGTACCGGGGATCACGGTGGCTAAGTGGGTAAGGCGGTGGCTCGCTAGACTGGAGGTCGGGTGTTCGATCCCTGCATTGGCCGAGAAAGTTCATCCAGATTTTCCCGCGTGGTTCTCCCTTGTCAGTTATGCAGGACGAAGGGCCTGACAAGGACAAGGATGGAGGGGCTGACAAGGAAAGCTGTCTAGTCGTTCGGATGGGACGAAAAACCGAGGTCCCGTGTACACATTGGCGTGCACGTAAAAGATCCCTTGACAGTTGGAATTCGATATAAGAGTAGGCCGTAGTGCCGCTGTCTGGGCAAAATTTCCCTCATTAGCCCAGTTCAGAGCAGAACAGTAGGATGTTAAACCCCATTTCATTTCATTTCATTTCTGTCCTGTACCCCTAACAAGAAGGAACCACACCGAAAAATGCAGAGATCAAACAATAAGATCTATTTTAATTAAATCATCACAGATGATGCTTTGGATTTCATTAATTAAGTGAAAATATTCAAAATAATTTACATTTATATTCTTGGTAAGAGAGATAATGCCTTTTTATCGTCCAAACCTTGTTAGCGTTGTAGGATAGAGAGTCTGGCAAGAAAAAGTGTAAAGTCCTTCATATGGGATGAAAAATATGATGTCTCATGAGCAGGCTGGTATGTACTGTGATGCACATAAAAGATCCTTAGCGGTTGAAGTTTGATAAAGAGGAAGCGCAAATGCTGCTATTGGAGAAAAAAATGTAATTGCATGGGGGTGTATGATGATATTTGTTAGCCCAGTCGTGCAGAAAATGAGGATCTCAAAAGCAGGTCATTTTTTAGCTAAAATATTGTATGTTTATATTGAGCTGTGGCAAACAGATAAGTTGGAACAAATTGATGGTACACAGACGAAGTGTAGGGTAGATTGGATAAAGTTGATGCAGAACTATAGAAATTTCCCCATATTCAAATTTAAAACTGTAGTAAAGTTTGTAAATTTTTATTTTCTACAGATGAAAGTGTTGTTAATTCAACCACCAGGCCAACAATGACAACTAGAAAAGGTAAGATCTAATTATTAGACCATACATAAAAAAATGTTCTATCAAGGCCTTGGCCTATTTTTAGTGGGCCCTATCGTAACCTACAATGCCAGTCTCATTATGTTCATTTAATGGCATCCAAACATCATTCTCATGTGCCGTCGTGATCTGATGTTAAATTCAGAAATACAAACTTTATCTCTCAAATGAGATCATCCATTTATACAGCTTGCTACTCGACTCAGTGACACATATCCCCCACTGCTGCCCCAATAACAGAAATTGTGATCCACATTGCACATTCTCCTGCCAGATATGACTACATAACCCTGAAGATCTCGTGTTTGACCCCACTGTTGGTCGAGAAACATCATCTGGATTTTTGGTGTGGCTCCCCCTTGTCAGTGTTGCAGGAAGGAGGGCCTTGGGAACATATATATAGTCATCCATAAAAGAATCAATGACAATTTGAATTTGAAATAACATTAGGCCGTAGTGCCACTCTCCTGGCAATATTTCCCTCATAGCACACTGTATAACGTATGCCCATCTTCATTAGTCCAGTAGGAACAGAACAGTAGGACGTTAAACCCTGTTTTATTTAAACATACATTATGCAAAGCAAAATCTGCCTATTGAAGGCAAAATTTCCCTCATTAGCCCAGTTCAGAGCAGAACAGTAGGATGTTAAACCCCATTTCATTTCATTTCATTTCTGTCCTGTACCCCTAACAAGAAGGAACCACACCGAAAAATGCAGAGATCAAACAATAAGACCTATTTTAATTAAATCATCACAGATGATGCTTTGGATTTCATTAATTAAGTGAAAATATTCAAAATAATTTACATTTATATTCTTGGTAAGAGAGATAATGCCTTTTTATCGTCCAAACCTTGTTAGCGTTGTAGGATAGAGAGTCTGGCAAGAAAAAGTGTAAAGTCCTTCATATGGGATGAAAAATATGATGTCTCATGAGCAGGCTGGTATGTACTGTGATGCACATAAAAGATCCTTAGCGGTTGAAGTTTGATAAAGAGGAAGCGCAAATGCTGCTATTGGAGAAAAAAATGTAATTGCATGGGGGTGTATGATGATATTTGTTAGCCCAGTCGTGCAGAAAATGAGGATCTCAAAAGCAGGTCATTTTTTAGCTAAAATATTGTATGTTTATATTGAGCTGTGGCAAACAGATAAGTTGGAACAAATTGATGGTACACAGACGAAGTGTAGGGTAGATTGGATAAAGTTGATGCAGAACTATAGAAATTTCCCCATATTCAAATTTAAAACTGTAGTAAAGTTTGTAAATTTTTATTTTCTACAGATGAAAGTGTTGTTAATTCAACCACCAGGCCAACAATGACAACTAGAAAAGGTAAGATCTAATTATTAGACCATACATAAAAAAATGTTCTATCAAGGCCTTGGCCTATTTTTAGTGGGCCCTATCGTAACCTACAATGCCAGTCTCATTATGTTCATTTAATGGCATCCAAACATCATTCTCATGTGCCGTCGTGATCTGATGTTAAATTCAGAAATACAAACTTTATCTCTCAAATGAGATCATCCATTTATACAGCTTGCTACTCGACTCAGTGACACATATCCCCCACTGCTGCCCCAATAACAGAAATTGTGATCCACATTGCACATTCTCCTGCCAGATATGACTACATAACCCTGAAGATCTCGTGTTTGACCCCACTGTTGGTCGAGAAATATCATCTGGATTTTTGGTGTGGTTCCCCCTTGTCAGTGTTGCAGGAAGGAGGGCCTTGGGAACATATATATAGTCATCCATAAAAGAATCAATGACAATTTGAATTTGAAATAACATTAGGCCGTAGTGCCACTCTCCTGGCAATATTTCCCCCATAGCACACTGTATAGCGTATGCCCATCTTCATTAGTCCAGTAGGAACAGAACAGTAGGACGTTAAACCCTGTTTTATTTAAACATACATTATGCAAGAGCAAAATCTGCCTATTGCAGGTCTTTCTTTAGGCCTGAAATGTTATAAAAACTATTAATTAGACATTAATTAACTTATCCAGACCATAATCAGCCCTCGATGTCAAGGCTAGCCTGCGATATTTGTTGGATTATAGTCAGATTTGGTGCAAAACTTTCCTTCGTGATTAACGATTAAATGGATAATCGAGACTATTAGGTTTGTCTTACCGACTTCAGTAATGATGATCAAGGCTAAGCGGAACTTTCATCCGCTTAGCTCTCGGTTCATATTGGATCAATTTGTCTGAAATTTTCAGAAAATTGCCTTTATATTATGTAGTTTTTAACTATTATAGTGAGAACTACCAACTCGTTATCTCATTTCCCATAATGTTTCTTTAAGATTCAGCTTTTGTTATACCAGACCATTAGGCCATCCAAACCGTGAGTTATTATTGTGACTATTTGTATCTTTTACAGTTAATGGACATGATAGGAAAGCAATGAACAGTGCTGTACCCATATCAGGTTTAACCATCTTGGCCATCATCGATTTTATTTTATTTATCTGTGGAGTAGCTCTGTACATTGTTGTTCAGATATTAAAAACATACAGTAAGTCTTCAAATTACACAAAATACACAACTAGTTTTACTAAAATTATTGTCAATCCCTAATCTGATTAAAATATAGTGCTATATTTCGTTTCGTTAAACTAAAACATCACACCAACATATTGAGATATGTACAGGTTTTATACAGATAGAATCTTAACTAATCCTAATAATTGTTGTAAATAAATAGGAGTTAGGGCCTACTATGTCAATTTTGAAAGGGGGGGGGGGGTCCAAATATATTCAGACCCCCCCAGGAAAATAATTGGGTGGGGGGGGGCGGACCCCCCCCATGTGTGACGCCCATAGTTGTCTATCTCTGTACCTTCCAGATGATGTGTGGTCTAATGTGTGTGCTTTCGGTCGTAAGATCTGTCATTGAGTCAAGTGGCAGGGTTTCGGGCCCACACTTCTAATCAACAAGGCATAGGGTCACCTACCCAACCACGTGGGATTCCTCCGGGTCCTTGTATGTGACATGGAGTATGGGCACCTGCCAAATCTGGTGGGTTTCCTCCCATGGCTAAAAAAACATCACAAGTTATTGAAGTAAAATTGTTTCATGAAAGTCATGTTTGTATCAAGTGGACATCACCCCAACCCCCCTCTCTCATATATGGATAGAACTTAACCTCAAACAGGTAATTTGTTTAAAATTATTTTTATTTCAGAAATATGCAGGAATAGAGGTGGAGTATAGATGGTATAGGATACTTAAAGGAATTCTTATATGGCCAAGTTTTATGGATATTAATCAATAATCTGATTAATAATAAAACAAATATTAAACTAGATATAGAACTAATCACTGGTATTTTGGGAAATATATTGGACCTGATATTGTGCAAACCCTGATTATGCTTAGTTAGATATTTATAATGAAAAACTCCTAAATTCATAGCCTATATTAAGTATTAACACAAGGTACAATTGTACCTCGTGTTAATATGTTCAATTACTAAATGCCAATCAAAGAAGATATATTAAGTATGTTTAAAAGAAATAAAGTACTATTGCCATATAGAAAAACAAATGTATGTATCTTGTGTTCAGATGAATATGTTTATTAAAGTTAAAGATGCATTATGTAAGAGCTAAATCTGTCTATTAAAGGTCTTTATTTTGGCTTCAAAAATTATATATTTAGATATTTATACACATGATAAGCCCATAATCTACTCTCTAGACCATCGGATGGCGGAGATTTTAATCGATAAAAACCAGGTCGCCATTTAATTTGAAAATGGAGTAGTGCTACGATAAGGAACAGTCGATGCCCCATGTTATCAAAACTTCAAACGGTGATAACGTCAAAAAAGTAATTTGAATGAAATTTTCAATATATTCATTTTGCGTTTTCTATTTTTGAACTATTATAACAAGAATGTTCAGCTCTTTATCTAAGTCTTACATAGTGCATCTTTAATAGGAGGGATAACTATTCAAAACTGTTTTCTTGATTCCCTTCATTATAAAATTTAGTGACTGGTAAGTTGTGATAACATTGAAAGATATATTTAATTCTTGTTTTTTATAATAGCAAGGACAGTTTTTCAATTTATCTATTTACCTCTTTCCAGTCATTGAAAGGGAAGATATCTGATAAATGAACTTTCGGAATTCTTTCGTATCATTGAGGAGATGGAACAGTATAAATTTGAACGTAATATAGATATTATATATTTTATTTCTTGAGTATTGAATGAATCTAATGCTATAATGATAGAAAGACCTGTAAAACAAACAATTCCGACAAGGAAAGAGAGAGTGAAATGTTGTTTAACGTCCACTCACAAACTAGTAGGTCATTTCTGCACAATGTATGTTTAAATAACTGTTCTGTATCTATATAAAAATCTCATATACCAGGTTGACTTGCAATGGTTGTCACACATCTACGGGCACACATCAACAGGATTGTAATATTGAAAATGGGCCCTTATTTGTAAACAGACATATCTTTAGATGTGCACAACACCTACAAGTAAAATATAAAAATTTTCCCTTTTTATTCGCCCACATTTTCATGTGAACGTATATTGTCGTCGCCCCTGTCTGTCCGTCACGTTTTTAGCTTGTGGACACTCTAGAGGTCACAATTTTGATCCGATTTTTATGAAACTTGATATGCATGTTTATAACCCAAATATCTTGTTTCCTGTCGATATAGAGGTCATGATTTTTATCCGATTTAAAAAAAAAACGTGTGAATATATCACAGTTATACACTAATGATGGCAAATATCTTGTTTCCTGTCGATATAGAGGTCATGACTTTTATCCGATTTAAAAAAAAACGTGTGAATATATCACAGTTATACACTAATGATGGCAAAGTTCGAATTTCGTGAAAATCAGACAAAAAGTGACAGACATAATGACCACCCCTTGTACGCAAATAGTGTAAAAATAGGGTATATCAAGGTTGTGGACCCTAGAGGCCACATTTTTTATCCGATTTGGATGAAACTTTAAATATATGTTTTTATCGTAAAGACCTTGGTTCCGTTTGATAATCACACATATCTGAACGTAACTTTCTGGATTATGGATCCAGATTGGTCGAAAAATCTCATTTTTAGCTTGTGGATTCTCTAGGGCTCACAATTTTTTTTCCGATTTTAAAAAACGTTTATATATATCTCCATTCCACCATAATGAAGGTTGAATTGGAATATTTCCACATTTCAGACCATAACTTTCTGGATTATGGCCTATTGATTTTCAGCAATTTCCGATAATTACTGCCAGAGTTATGGCCCTTGATCACTTCAAAAAATCTTGTGGACGCTCTAGAGGCTAAATTTATTATCCGATTGACTTTAAATTTATACACAGTGTTTAAGGTCTTAAGATGAAGAATCCTATTGATTTTCAGCGATTTCCGATAATTAATGCCAGAGTTATGGCCCTTGATCACTTTGCAAAATCTTGTGACGCTCTAAAGGCTAAAGTTATCATCCAATTGACTTCAGATTGATACAAAGAGTTTAAGATCTTGAGACGAACAAGTATATTGAATTTCACTGAATTTTTATGAATTGGAACAGCTAAATCCATGATATTAAAAGTTTTGTATACAAAACGTTAGCATGGGGCAGGACTTTATAAAAACCAAACAAATTCTTATGGTTTTCTGTGTTGTTGCTCTTAATCAGATTTTAGTGTATTATATAGTGTATTTCATTACCGAAAAAAGTAAAAATATGCGACAACTCTTAATGACTGCCCGGACGATTTAGCTGCTGTGGACGTATGTTTCTTTGCCTGGCAACCTATCTTTGGTATTTTCCGCTAATAGGTTGGGTTTTTTTTTCAAATATCATTTATTTAGACTTCTAATAAACCTATGCTCTATCTTTATTTTAATGTTTTATCTTATGTTTCATGTATATTTCAACTTTAAATTATGTATTTTATTTTTAACATTTTATAAAAAAGGGTGCCATATAAATTCTATGATAATAATAATAATAAAAGGAATATCAGTCCAAAAATGGTTTGATCGAGTATTTACAGATAGGATGAATTGAAATTCAGCATTCTCTGCAGTTGATATAAAAGGGATATTGTCAAAACATTCCACCGCAAATATATAATATTTGAAGTTGTATGTTATGTTATTGTAACTGTTCTTTGTTTTAAAAAAACAATTCCAAGTATCTTTATTCCTTTCTGATACTTTGAGAACACCCATCAATGACATACAGTCCTGAGTAATTGAACAGTGTTACTTATTAATTATTCATGTTAGAGTATTTCGGTTGCCCTTGTCCGTCTGTCCACCTTAATTGAAGGACACACCAATTTGAAGTTTCATTTTTCAGGAACACCTAAATTTTTCTTCTTGGAAAAAATTACTTGGTTACTTTTCTCAAAAGATTAAAACCTGTAACGGTAGTGAATTGTAATGGAAATTGAAGATATTAAATTGTAGAAACTTTCTAGTTACTTCATAAGAAAATGTTATGGATGGCATCTTCGATTCATACATCTATTTCTTCACAAATTATTTGTAATAATTATTTGAAAAATCATTTAAATATTTAATAATATGTTGTATTTCATATAAAATGTTGTAAATAAATACATAAATATGCTGTTGTGTTATGGAGTTGGAGAAAGGGAGTAGGGGTGCTTGACATTATCAGGGTGGGTCCAGCCTATTGAAAAGGGTGGGATGGGTCAATAGTTGGTCTTGGCACACAGAGCATGAAATCGTTGAAAGGGACAGTCTTACCTGAAATGGTATTTAATCAAAGAGTATGGAAATATAAATTGTGTCTGGAGTAATGCTTGAACCAGCGTATGCATACTTGTTACAGAAGTAATGAATCAACGATATTCTAATTCGTTGATTTATATGACCAAATGTGTGGTTCACTTGATTATGGACGTTGAAGAATTAAATTCCATGTTTGGCATTAGGGTCTCGTTTATAAATTAAATTTTATTGGAATCTGGTGAATATTGCTAAATTTAATTCAAAAATACGTACAAAAACCGGATAATCCATATTGAAAGTTCTACTGTCCACCGATAAATTCTGGAGTACCACAAGGTTCGGTTCTAGGGCGTCTTCTATCCCTCACTTATGTAAATGTTATAAATCTGGCAATAAAAATCTGGCTCTTTGCTGGCGACACGTGCCTATACATGATAATCCAAGATCAAAGAGGCTGTCAATCCCTCCCGAATCAAGACATAAAACAACTTAGTTATAGGTAAAAGAAAATATGAAAATAAATTCTATTCTGGACAAATTGAACACTTTTAACTTCTCAAGAAAGTACACCCTTCTGTTAATAATCATGACTTTGATGGAACATAACTAATAAAGAATCCTAATAAATTAATCCCCGAGCAACAAATTTGATACGATTGTATAAATGAAGTAGTTTAATCCAGAACGCGTTTCGGGCTACGGCCCTTCATCACCTGCCTTGTCAAGTTTGTCGTCGGAGATTAATTTGCTTGGATTATTTACCAGAATATTTTTCCTGTTCGTCCCCGACCATATCACTGAGATCCAAACTGACTTACTGTTACATGGATTCTTGCACTTTCCTCCGTCTTTCAATAATACGTTTATTCACCAGTATCTGGAACGCCGCTAATAATCATAACCCATGCTGACCCTCTAAAGAATTCCAGTGATACGTTTATTCGTCTGTACCTTGGAATGATATATCAGAGATCATATAAAAGCATCTAGAGTGCCCTTAATAATCATGTTGTTATTAAAGTTAGTAAATGTAGGCTACAGATTGTTTCAGACGGGGGTGTCAATGGGCGTCTCCCAAGGAACAGTGCCTAGTCGATCGGTTGGGCAGATGGGTAAAGTGATAAAAAAAATGTAATATTTTTTGAGAAAACGCCGTTTTGCCTCCAGATCGGCAACAAAAAGTGCAGGAAAACCCAAAACGTTTTGGTCTATAGATAGAGCCACTCTGCATTGTTCAACAAATACAGTTTTCATTATATGTGTCATCAATCATTATTTGTGTCATCAATCTTGGAAGAATCGAATTTTGTTTAGATTGATTAATTCCATAGGATGAAATTTTATAGTATTCTACAGAATTGGGGTGGCCTATAAGATCTCCTACAAATTTATGGGAAAATACTATTCTATTCCACAGATTTTTTATAGTGTTATATTTAGGGAATTCTACATTAACCCTTGTGCGTATACAATGGGTGCTTCGGGACCCCACGACCACATTCTTAACGTTTGTGAGGATTACTGGTTCATAATTGTCTAGCGAGAATTTTATTCATTGTCAGCTAATTACTGTCGAGTATAATGCTGCACATAAAATGGACGTGAGGGAGTGGCAACATTCATCATTTGACAAGAAACTACGAGTATTACATTATCGGACACGAGAGGTCTTTTGGACCCACCTCCTTTCCTTTCAACATTTTGCTGGTTACACGTGTCTAATCTGTTCTGCCCTCGGTGCTAGCTTTGTATTTGGAATCTTTCTTACTAATGATATTGTTTTGGCCATTCTATAGTGTTAGCATTTGTGGGCTGACATGACTAACTTAGCCCTACTCATCGGCACAATCCGCAGTCCGGGGAAAATTTCCCCCATAGCACAATGTATGGCGTATGCACGGCCAGTCTTCATTATCCCAGTTGAAGCAGAACAGTAGGACTTTAAACCCCATTTCATTTCATTTCATATAGTTATCGTATACAACAAGCGTTTTGCGGAATCAAATCTTTGTAAGTTAGACCAAAATCGACACTAATTTACCAATATTTCAACTTTATTGTTTGAATGTGGCCGGTGCCAAACATGTCATTTTGAGTTAAATAGTATACCTTATTGTGACATAGGAGGGACATAAATATACGGTACCTCGCTAGAGCCTTTTCATAATGTTACAATGTGAAAAAAGAAGCACAATTCTTCACTTATGTAAAAGTCCTATATAAAAAGTGAGGTTGCTAGAATCTTGTGGGATTCAATTTAAAGTAAATCATGCGCCAACTAATTATTTGCCCTAAACAATAAAAAATCCATAGAATTCTATAGTACCTATTGCTACAAAAAACTGTAGTGACCCTATTCCCAAACTATGGCATACTTACGAAAGTCCAGAAGGCTCATTCCAAATTCCAAATTCCAAATGCGAAATTCCAAATTCCAAATGCGAAATTCCAAATTCCAAATGCGAAATTCCAAATTCATGTCTTATCGATAAAATAGCAAATTGGCAGCCCCCCCCCCCTCAATTAAACAAATTAGAATTTATATAAATTGTAATTTTACACAACTAATTACTTCTAGTTTACCTATCTGGGCCGAATAAATACCCGTTCCAAATTACTAGATTCCAAATTCCAGATTCCAAATTCCAGATTCCAATTTCCAAATTCCAGATTCTAAATTCCAAATTCCAAATCTGATCCGACCAATCGGATCAGGTTTTTGCTTTTGACTAATCAGTTAGAGAGAGAGAGAGAGAGAAACGGGGTTTAACGTCCACTCGACACAAACTGGGTCATTTCGGAACTAACATATGGTTTTAATTTTATTTCAATAATACGCTTGCGCGTAGGGGTCTTTAGCAGTGGGAGGAAACCGGAGGACCCGGGGAAAACCCACGAGGTTGGACAGGCCACCCTACTCCTTGCCAGTGTCACGTACAACTGGGGATTCGAAACCACGCCAGTTGACTCAATGACAGGCTGTATGATACAGCACGCACGTGCTAACCATTCGGCCATCCCCCCCCCCCCCAATCAGTTAGAGTATAATAACAATATTCCAGTTCGGGTTTGCTTCGGCAGATGTGAACAGTTTGGGGCAAAGTTCCTCTGCAGTGAGCTACTTTGCTACTCGGTATCCTAGGACTGGCATATTTTTTTTTTGGAATTTGGAATTTGGAATCTGGAATTTGGAATTTGGAATCTGGAATGAGCCTTCTGGGCTTTCGTACTAGACGGATCACCAAGTGGAACTTCACAGAGAAGGTTGAGGGATAGCTCAGTCTCCGCCCTCGTGCGGCTAGATCGATTACCGTGAAACTTTCATCTGCAATTTTTTTTCTTTAAACAGATTGCATATATGAGAATCCTCTTAGATTCTCGCAAAGAATGACGAATTTCTAGCACTGTTTGGGGAGACATGTGTAAACCGATTCATATCAGCAAATACATGCAAGAAGGGTAGAATTATGAACGTCGAAAATTCATATGTGAAGCACTCATTTTGGACAAGTTTTTAGCAGTTTATGCATTATTGTCGTGTCCTCCCGTACATTTTAACCATGCGTGTTAGCTGTATAATCCATCAAACATTAAAGTGGTCATCTCCGTCACAGTCATCACCGTCACATTTTTAGTGATTTCAACCGTGACGGAGAAGACACTGCGTGACGGACATGATTATTTTTTTTTATTTTATATTACAAATGTACTTATTTCGTGTTTTCCGTTGCAGAATGCCTCTAACACCCGCTGAAAGAGCCAAGAGATACAGAGAGAGGAAAAAGTCAAACCCAGAAACAAAGGAAGCTTTTCTACGTAAAGAGAAAAACAGAAAGTTATATACCAATAAATGAAAGATCAGACAGAGATAAAAGAAGAATCAGAAAAGCATGGCGCAGTTCTCAAAAACAGTCCCGTATGGGCGGCTAACGGATTTTAATCCCCACCAAGTATCCCAGATGCGGTCGAACCAGGAAACCAAGTCTTTGTTTTTCCTAGTCTCGGTCACCCAGAACCTCCTAGTCTTCAACATACGTAGAATATTTCTCTGGATGATAGAAACTATGTTTTTCCCGCAGTTACGCAAGAATCAAGACGGATCATGAGAGGCAGAAGAAAGGTCAGGAAGGGTAGAAGTGCAGCGTATAGAAGAAGTGGTCAGCTACAAAAGAAAATGTCACAGTTAGAAACCAAAGTAGAAAAATATAAAAAGCGGTACCAGAAGGTTTCAACAAAATTAGACAACATGACCAATTCCCCTGAACTAAAATTAACAAGTTACTTAGAGGTATAGCGCAGAAAAAAGTAAACCCAGAAGTCCAGAAGACCTGTTATTTCATGGTTCATTAGTGTCAGAAATCAGAAGATGATATACTCGAACCAAAGAGCAGCGAGAAAAGAGTTATTGTCGTGTCTGGTAGGAGGTCGGATAATCAAAAAATATAGAAGAGCAATAGGGTCATATACTAAAAAAAAGAAGCAATCCGCTAGTCTTTCAAATCTTATACGGAAACGCCGAAACGATACCGTCTCTTCAGAGGTCCAGAAGCTTGTGACAGATTTTTATACCAGAGATGACAGTAGCAGAATGACACCTGGTAAAAAAGATGCCATAACTCGCCACAAAGAGAGGGTACAGAAGCGACTACTTTCCGAGACCATTCAGAATGTGCATGCAAAGTTCTTGTATGAAAATCCGTCAACTTCAATTTCGTATTCAAAATTTGCAAAATTACGACTCTTTTGGGTTGTCATTCCATCCGTCTCAGACAGGGACACCTGTCTCTGCAAACAGCACAGCAACCCTCAGTTAATGGCTGACGTACTTTCTAAAGAACAGGTCATCACTTCCTCAGTTTTAGTC